TTCTAGAACCAGTGGTTCGTCAGAGAGTGAGGCTGCATGGGCCTGGATCAAGGCGAAGCGCACAGGGTTAGTCGATGGAGGAGGGGAAGAGAGAGACAGCAAAGAAAACTTACTCGAATAACAATTGACGTGGTAGAAAGCTGTCCGGCAGCATTTTCATGTGTGGTTTTGCGCTTTTTGGAGGGTGGATGCGCGGATTCGCGTCGCTTGTTGAGCGAGGATGAGCTGAGGGAATCGAGGACGCTGGGAATCGTGCGCGAGGCCATGGTCGCGTCTAGAAGGTCGTGCGCATCGTGGACAGAAACAGAGGCCGAAAAAATGCAAAACAAGGCGAGAAATGCAAAGGCGCTTTGAAATCAAGTGAGTGAAGTGTGTTGGAGTTGAGGTGGAAGTCGGACGCGGGAAGCTGAAATGCTTGGCGGTGGTGGCACGCGTCGGTCAATCAAACTACGAAGAACAACGTACAGTTGATGATTCTATGATCACAGGTACTTCTTCTCAGCTACAGGGAATGATTACCGAAGATGGTTATGATAATTATTCTATTGCTAATGTTTAGATTAGCGCACCCCAGTGAGCCAAAGCAAAAGGTGTCTCCCAGGAGGAGAAAACACCCCCCGCCGACTTGGGCGGTTGTGGAGAATGGTGGTGGTGTTGTTGAAGACTGTCGCTCCGGAAAAACGCCAGAAAAAAAGAAAAATAGCACATCCCTTCCCAGCCGATGAAAAGTGGTATCATGTTGAATTTTTGTCTTCGCCAAAAGGCCCATCTCTTTGCAGGGCGACCATGCAGATAATGAAACAAGAGTAGTAGATTGATTTCCCACAGGGAATCAATGGTATTGGAATTTGAAGGGTTTTTGTAGGTCTATGCATTTCGTGCTTTGAGTTGTTGAAAACAAAGCTCATCTCATCACAGTCGTCAGAGCATCTCTGGGGTCACCCCCGAGAGAAGCGGTGTCCCGCTTAGTACTTCAGAGCCTTGGGCTTCTCCCAGGAGAAGTCCTGGTTGGTGAAGTGGCCGTTCTTGGCGGTCTGGACATAGATGGGCTTGGCCAGGTCAAGGTCCTTGACAATCACACCGGGGCGGAGATTGAAGTTGTTGTTGATGATCTGGACCAGCTCATCTGACGACTTCGAGGAGGTGCCGTAGGTCTCGACGAAGATGGAGAGGGGCTCGGCAACACCGATAGCGTACGACAGCTGGACGAGGCAGCGGCGAGCCAGCTTGGAGTGAACCAGAGACTTGGCGATCCAGCGAGCGACGTAGGCGGCGGAGCGGTCGACCTTGGAGTAGTCCTTGCCGGAGAAGGCACCACCACCGTGGGCACCCCAGCCACCGTAGGTGTCGACGATGATCTTACGGCCAGTGAGACCGGCGTCACCCTGGGGACCACCGATGACGAAGCGGCCCGAAGGCTGCAGGTGGTAGACGGTCTTATCGTCCAGAAGCTCGCTGGGGATGACCTTCTTGATGATCTTCTCCTTGAGCACGTTGCGGATGGTCTCAGTGGAGACATCGTCGGTGTGCTGGGCGGAGATGACGACGGTGTCCACGCGCTGGGGCTTGACGGCACCGTTGTCATGGGCGTACTCAATGGTCACCTGGGTCTTGGTGTCCGGGAGCAACCAGGGGATGGAGCCGTCCTGGCGGGCCAGCTTCATGGCGTTGTTGAGCTTGTGGGAGAGCAGGATGGTCAGGGGCAGGAGTTCCGGGGTCTCGTCGGTGGCATAGCCGAACATGATACCCTGGTCACCGGCACCGAGCTTCTCCAGTGCCTCCTCGTAGTGCAGACCCTGGGCAATATCGGGCGACTGCTGCTCAATGGCAACCAAGACGTTGCAGGTCTTGTAGTCGAAGCCCTTCTCGGAGGCATCGTAGCCGATGTCCTTGATGGCGTTACGGATGATCTTCTGGTAGTCCAGGTTGGCCTTGGTGGTGATCTCACCGAAGACCATGATCATACCTGCAGAGTACAGTTAGCCCGGGATGGTCCAGCGACACAATGGCATGGATTAAGAGCATACCGGTCTTGGTGGCGGTCTCGCAAGCGACCTTGGAGAGAGGATCCTCCGCAAGGCAGGCATCGAGGACGGCATCGGAGACCTGGTCACTGTTGGATGGTTAGTATGGCGGGGACGATGGGCGAGGGAGAAATTCTCCTCAGGGGCAAAACTCACGCAATCTTATCGGGATGACCCTCACCGACGGACTCGGAGGTGAAGAGGAAAGTGCCAGGCTTGGAACCGTTTGCGAGGGAACCCATTGTGACTGTAGGAGACTGAAAAGTCTTGAGAGAAAGGAGAAAACAATTGAAAAGGGAGTGATGAAGAATGGGAAAAGAAAGAAGAAGTAGAAGAAGAACCAGGGAAGAGGGGCTTGGTGGGGTTTTCTGCTTGGTCGGGTAAGGAAAATTTAATACAGAGGATACATGGTTGGGACTTGTGTAACTACGGTGCTGCAGTAGAGTGGGCCGGTACCACTCAAGTACTCTCGAGCCGTGATGGCGCCATCGTACGGCGGCCACAGGGCGGTGACAGGGGGCAGAAGAGGAAGCCCGGCAAGCAAAATCTCAGCTCGTTACCGAACTCAACCCGCAGTGCATCAACAGCAACCATGTCCAAGTTCGGGGTTTTGGTCATGGGCCCGGCCGGGGCGGGCAAGACCACCTTCAGCAATGCTATGATCCAGCACTTGCAGAATACCCGCCGCAGCTGCTTCTACGTCAATCTGGACCCGGCGGCCGAGACCTTCAGTTACGAACCCGACCTTGACATCCGCGAGCTGATCACCTTGGAGGATGTGATGGAGGAGCTGGGTCTGGGCCCGAACGGCGGTCTTATCTACTGCTTCGAATTTCTACTGCAGAATCTCGACTTCCTCTCCCAAGCCCTGGATCCGCTCAGCGAGGAGTACCTCATCATCTTCGATATGCCCGGCCAGATCGAATTATACACCCACATCCCGCTCCTGCCGTCACTCGTGCAGTTCCTGTCTCGCCAGGGACCCCTGAACATCAACCTCTGCGCGGCCTACCTGCTCGAGAGTACATTTGTGATCGACAAAGCCAAGTTTTTCGCCGGAACGCTCAGTGCCATGTCTGCCATGCTGATGCTGGAGATGCCGCACGTGAACATCCTCAGCAAGATGGATCAAATCCAGGATATGGTGACCCGCCGGGAACTGAGACGGTTCACCAACGTGGATGTCCAGTTGCTGCAGGATGAGGAGGCAGACGATGTCGCGGCGAGCGCGAATCCCATGGCGACGGATGCGTTGATGAGTGGCGGGTCTTTCAAACGGCTCAACCGGGCCGTCGCACAGCTCATCGATGACTTTAGCATGGTGTCGTTCCTGAAGTTGAATGTGCAGGATGACGACAGTGTGGCGGCTGTTCTCAGCCACATTGATGATGCGATTCAGTTCCACGAGGCCCAGGAGCCGAGAGAACCCAAGGATGAGCAGGAGGTGAATTACGAAGACGCCGATGCTTGAACGAATTACAAGCTTGCCTCTATTGTCAACATTCGACATCGAGGTCGACTATGATTTCCATATCGGGTCTGCCGACACCCATTCCGGTATTTCAAAACATTCCGTGGCTTTGATACTAGGCTGCCGAGGACCCCCTGCGGCAATCTTATCATCAGAAGATGCCACCAATTGAATCAGCAGCCGTCCCATCCCACCGGGCCTATGGACAGCAACGGCCATCCCTCATCCCACCCGCGACAATGTGGGGCAAGAACCAAGCCCCACAAAGACAGATGGAGAACGAGGAAGAGATATCAGCGAAGCGAATAATAATATATTCCGAATAGCCTCTGCCTCAAAGAGGAAATACCATGAATTTTGAAACATGACCACCAGCTCCAAGCATACAGTCCCACCTGCTATCGCCCGCAGCGAAGCAGAACCACCCTCCCTATAGTTAACTGCCTCGCAGCGTATGTAACCAACCAAAGCCTCACCATGGCCGAGCATATCCCCCGCTCTTCCCCTTCTTCCCAGCGCCCCATCCGGATCCAACTCCAGCACTCCCACCACCGCCACTTGTAGCAGCACTACTCCTAGCCTGAAAATCCTCCACAAACCCCTCCACAACCCCCCACAACCAGCCCAGATCGCGTCCTGCACTTTCCACCCCAACGCGATACACATACAATGCGATGCCCAGGATGGAGCCCCAGAACATCAGTCGGAAAGCCAGCGAGACCCAGAACATGATCACGCGACGCGCATAGTCGAGGATCTTGAGGGAGATGACGAGGATGATGGCGAGGAGGAGGATGGAGAGGAGATCGGGCATGGCGGATGAGGAAGACGCGGTGGAGGCGAGTAGGGAGGAGAGCGGTTGGATGAGGTATGGTTGTACGTAGGCGGTGCGGATGTGCGAGAGGTGTGTTGTTAGGTGTTCTTGTGTGGAGGTTGCGATGTAGGTGACGGATGGGTGTTGGAGGAGGGTTTGGACGTTTTCTAGGGGGCTGATGTTAGTGATGCGACTTCATATGGAGGGTCGAAGTATGACACACCTGGAAGGAAGTCCATTTCTGTGAGGGTTGGTCGGGGTGGGGGGTGGATGGAGATGAAGCACTGCGTCTTGCGCCAGTCACGATGAAATCAAGATGCCGTCGGCGACGCGTCGTATACAGCGCGAGGATGGAGAATATGGGACGGTGAGCTGCAAGAAGGAGGCCACGTCCGAAACTGAGCGATGCACCGTGTGACCTGCAGGGAGTATATGGAGTGCTCAAAGGGTACAGAGAGTCAAACAAGTTGGCCCTTCCACCGATAGATAAGAGACCGATGCAAAACAAACAAACACGTACACTCGAATCCGAAATTGGCTTCCACGCCCATGCACACATATCCGCCCCCAAGTAGTCGGATATATGAGGATTGTCGTATTGAGAGGCTCTATGTAGTTGGGCTTTATGTTGAACAATACAAGAAGTCGGCATTCTGCTTTGCCGGCGCCATGTTAAACTTCCCAGTTTGATTTACCTTTCGACTAATCCTAGAATCTCGGAACGAACAATCTGAGACCGAAGGAGGAGTTTTTCGGCTACAGGGTGTGTTTCAATCAATTGAGAAGCGGCTTCTTCACACGTATACAAATTCCACATTGCTTCAAGCCTCAGTGTGGAATTGGTTTCGTTGAGATCGGGAAGAATGGCCTCAAGGAACAATGTCAGGATCGTAACGGAGGCCCCCGGTAAGAACTGGAACAAGTCCGTCTGATGAAGGTCGTTAAAAGTGGCCTTGGCGAGGCTTATGACCCGGCGTAACTTCTCTGAATTGCCGGGATAAGAAAGATGGCTTTTTGAGTCTCCTGCTTGGTAGAGCAGGCACAACGCACCGAGATAGAGAAGATATAGGTAAGCCCGATGGGTGAGAAAACTTTTGTCTGTGAGGGAAACGACCGAGTTAAGTAGACCCGATGAAGGATTGTAGCCGACATCGCCGGGAAGACCCTGAATCCAACCTTTCAGGGCCTGTTCGCATTCGTACACCATAGTCGATGTTAAACTCTCCTTTGCGGCAAGAGAATGCTTGCAGTCTCTAGACGGCGAAGGAGCCCAGCTTCCATCATATAGATATGTTAAAAGGACCCCGATGTGATGAGCAAGGTTAATCTCTTCAACAAAGAGCTTCGTCATCTGCTTCTGAATATCCTGACTGACGAGAACGACGGAGGCATCGTCCCCCAAAATAAGAGTGGCGAGAGGGTGGCATGGCTCGTATGCCATGTTTGCAAATTTCAATAGAGAGATCCTGAACGCATTGTCTGGTATTCGGAGTCGCGATCGAAACTGAAGAGAAAGGAGACGGTCTTGCACGTAGAGACTCCACCATATTCGGTTGTTGAGGGTCAAATGGCCAGACTCAAGTCCTTCATCCAGACCAATTCGTTCTGCTATCAAGCATGCAGTGTTAAGCCAATATTGTGGATTTTTATGGCTCATATTCCCTTCATGCCACTGCGTCATCAACAATAGCGCCTGGATTTGGATGTATGGATCTGTTTCGGTTTCAAGTTCAAAGAGAAGCTTGAATTGCACTATATTAGATATCAGTCAAGACAGAAAATAGTTGTATGGCTCACTTTAGCTCGTTCAAAAAGCATTCGTCTCAGCTCATTGCGTGAAGAATTTCCGGCCTCTTTAGCATCTTGGGCATCAATGAAAGCACTACCTGCGAGCATGACAGCCTGGTATAGTAGTGGACTTGACGTGTGTGAGTCATCCTCAATTATCATCTCGATCAAAAAGTGATTCATGTTCAATATCGGTAGAAGAGGGTGGACATATTTCACATAGGCCCTCAGTATTTGATTTCGAAGTCCGTGGGGCAACAGGTCCAATGCTCCCTTTTTAGCCAAATATTGGAATGTGTCTTCCGAAAGATGCAAAAACCCGACCTGGAAATTTCTCACAGGCCGCAGAGATAGAGCTTCATCGCCACCGTTGGGACGGGCTTCAGATGTCGGCGGCTCGAGTAGATCCACGATTATCGAGTAGTAGTAGTCTAAAGGGTAAGTTTGGAGCACCTTGGGATCCGCAGCCATGTGATTATCGTTAATACCCCCCACTGGAAGATTGTCCATCATGGAAGACCGAATCAGATTGTCTAAGAAGCAGAAGGAAGTCAGCTATCAATCCAGATCTTCAGACTGGAATTGTGGTACCTACCGATCTCTTTGAGCCCATCCTCCATCGGCTGCCTGGAATCAACCGGACTGTCCGAGCTGGCAATGCTACTATCCAATTTGTTGGATTCCTTCTGCGGAGACGTGGCCGATTTCTGAAGCGAATTCTCAGGTGAGCTGGAATCTATACGCGCTCGTTTGTGAGAGCTATTCGGTTAGCGAATTCCAATGGTTATTATTTCGGATGTGCCAAAGCATTTGGACTTACTGTCTTTTATCATGAGAGAAACGACATATTAGAGATTTTCCGCAACATCTGCCACAGGCACTCGAGCCTTCGGCTATATTACACCGCAGTTTCGCTTTTCCACAAGCTAGGCAAGCTCGCGCCGCCCGTCGTGTGACCGGACGAGGCGGCCTCTTCGTCGTCGGCTTCTCCATGAGACCCGAAATACCAAGCATTCAGACGCGCTAGGTAGCTTGCAAATTCTCCAAGAGAGTCGACGATATATTATTTGCGAATAAATCGTTTACATCCCGCGGAAGCTCCGGGCATACTGTGTAGATATGATGACATTCATTGCAGCATTGTTGGTTTATGCTTCCAAAATGCCACCGGCTGTGCCCAGTAGCCGTCGTTGGGCCGATTGCACCAATGAAACGTGTGAAGAGCACGCGCCTCTCGGAATTTCGGCGACGCTTTGCGTCATATTCGGGTTAGTGCTGATCTGTAATTGGCACAATGCGACATGATGAACGTTGACCTTGCCGGTGGGAATAGCATGGTGTGGGGCCTTTAGTTAACTACGTCGACCCCTGATTAGTGAGTGAATTGAGTTTCCGGTGGAAGTTTTGGATGTAAGGCACCTTCGGGGATAGATTACCCGTCCCCAATCACCGTGTTCAGTGCTCCACAAATTATTTCCCTAGATTTTGCAGTATATAGGCTACCCCGGATTCCTGAGCCTTCCAGCTATTTCACTCTAAGAAGGATACTTAAAAAGGAATTTGGGAAAAATGGCGAAATATACTTCGTATAATGTGGCAGTATGTCTGGATCTTTTGCACCCTCACCGTTAGAGTCGGCGTCCGCTAATCAAAGAGCCCAGTTTAGGCGATCCTTTTCGCTGCATTTGGGTCGCTTTTTGCTGGATACAGCTTGTCGGTGATTGTTGCTACCCTGGGCCAGCCGACCTTTTACTCAAGCTTGGGCTTGAGCTCCGATACTCATTCCCCGCAATACAGTCATACCAATGTTATAATCTCATCTGCGAATGGCATCTTCTTTGCAGGTGGCTTCATTGGTTGCTTCGTAGCAGCGTGGGCTGGCGAGAGATTCGGTCGTCTTAGAGGGTTTCAGCTTGCTGCAGTAGTGGGGATCATTGGAGGAGCAATCCAAGCTGGCGCCATAAACTCTGCCATGGTTTGTTGTGTTATACCCGGACATCCGAATTAATTTTCGTGTTTACTAACTCTTAACTTTTCTAGTATCTCGTCGCTCGACTCCTCACTGGAATTGCGACTGGACAGACTGTTGTTGCTATGCCAATTTACTTTGCGGAGATCGCATCACCCAACTCCCGTGGCCTTATGGCTGGTGCGCATGGCTGTTTTATCAATGTGGGATACGCGGTCTCCAATTGGGTCGGGTAAGTACACTGTTGCCTTCATCATCAATGTTACTCACAATTGAGCAAATAAGTTATGGCTGTTTCCTTGTACGGAACAGTACCTTCGGCTGGAGATTTCCAAATGCGATTCTTGTTTTCTGGGCTCTTTGTCTTCTCATTGGGACATTATTCAGTACGTTTTCTGTCTCTGGAGCACCTCTTACGAAATTTAATCCCCTAATTCTGTTATCAGTTCCCGAGAGTCCTCGCTGGCTCTGCAGTCGTTCTCGGCACGAAGAAGCCCTACAGGTCCTGTGTCGACTTCATAATCAACCTGATGATCAGCAAGGTAGCTTCGCTTATCAAGAGCTAGAACTGATACAGGAGAGAATGCTTCGTGATCGCGCAGAGAGCGACCGCTACGGAAAATGGCAGCTTTTCACGCAGCCGACATACCGAAAACGCAGCATCCTCGCAGCAATGGTTCTTGCTGGGTCACAAAATACAGGAGTTCTGGTCATTAACAACTATAACGCCCTATTGTACCAGTCCCTTGGTCTGTCAAACGCTCAAGCACTTCTGGTTAGCGCTGGGTATAATACCTGGGGAATGGTATGCAACTGTATAGGTGCCAACGTATCGGATCGTTTTGGCAGACGCAAGCTTCTAAGTAAGTGTGATTTCACCTTATTTTCGCGTATCATATTTACTGGGTCTGATCATATTATTAGTCACTGGATTCGGCATGACTGGAATCATGATTACAGTAGCAACAGCGCTAATTGCGAAATACACCGAGACTCAGTCAAAAACGTATGCAGCTGCTTCTGTAGTTATTCTATACCTATACGTGGCTTGGTATGACTCTTCAAGTTCTCTTGAGATTCGTTTCATTGATGTCTGACATATCCATGAAGTTACGGCTCTTGCATTGATGTCAACGTGTTTACGCTGGTTACCGAAATATTCCCATCCCATCTCCGAGCACAAGGGACTGGACTTGCAACAGCGTTGTTCTTCTTAACTGATATCCTATGGCTTCAATTAGAGCCCACAGCCACAGGACGTATTGGATGGAAGTATTACCTTGTTTTCATCTGCCTGTGTGTCGTACACACTGTCTACCTCTACTTTCAGCTGCCTGAGGTTAGTCTTCCTCCTTTTGTCGGCCCGAGCTGGGTAAGCTCACATATGAATACCTCCGTGCATAGACTTCAGGCGTTGCACTGGAAACGATAGATGCTGTTTTTGGAAAAGAAACCCTTCCCAGTCCCTGCGATAATGACCGGGAGCCCAAATCGGATGAGGAAAGAATAGAAATCCGGTAAATGGACGTTTTATCGGTCGAAATTTCGATTTGCAGTTACGGCAATCAACAATGGGTTGTGTGACTGAGACATGTGCAGTGGAGTTCCAAATGCATTCGACGCACTGGGCATCCTAGCGTACACTACCAACATTGCCATCTTCATACTGTCTATTACTACTCATAGATACTCGGAACTACAAGAATCTTACCAGGGTACATATTGCTTCCCGATTATCCATTTCCCCACAGGCAAACATTTATTCAGCTATAGTCACGAAATGCAGACAACTACGTTAATCAAGAATTGCTAACGCAAGTCGCTAATTCTAACGAGCACCGGCGGGGATGTTATATATTGAGCAAATACATCAGCTATACAAGGTTTCTGTAATGTACTTTCCAACTCGGCCATTCCTTCTAGGTGTCGGAAGTTCAAGTTGGTTTTTGGTTATAATATGATGGAGCAGGATCGAGGATGATTTCTCAAGCAAGACGTCCGGAGCTTTTGGTTTCAGTCCTTCCGCCCTGGGCTCTTCCTTGACCTTTCACTCATTATTTTGTACACCCATAGGTTTACTGAAATGTTCGACCCCAGTTCCAACTGCTGCTCTGGTCGTCGGGGACAAGATTGAACAGGACTGCAAAGTATTTAGCCAACATATCCTCGAGTGATAATCTATGCGGTAACCTTACGTTCGCCAAAAGCACCGAAAGTATCATCAAGTTGTTGAAAGGTGTCCGCCGATGGCAATTCAGTGTGCGCCGATGGAAATTCGGTGTGGGCCAAGGCTCCGTTATAAAGATCTTGGTTCAAAGTACCCTGTCTCCAGGTAACCTCTGGGGGAAACGGCGGTTGTATCTGACCAACATCTGGAATATTCCTCCCAGCAGAGTTGGATACCGAAGAGGACGTGTTCAGAAATGGCGGCTGAGAATGTCTCGTGCTCACTGGCTGTTTGAGAGGTGTCTCTTTGGAAGAGTCGATGCCTGCACTTTCGCCAAGTGCACAGGACATCTCACGTTGAACGGTAACTTTCAAGAGCTCGGTCAAGAGCTGTTCATTGTGCCGTGCTATTCTATTGTAATGACTCATTGATTTGCTGACCCGGATGATCCTCATTACCCCTCGTTTTGCCTCATTTGCGGCTCCAGTGAGAGGCTGGATGGTAGGTGGGATGCAAAGGATAACACCGGCGGTGAACTGCTGCAACGATGCAAAGGATGCGGCGAAATGTGTCTCAAGAGCATGCATAGGAGCGAGAGATATTCGCATTGCCGCTGCGGTGGCAGTGCTGAGTGAGTGATGAATGGCATCCATGATCGAGGCAGAGCAGGATGAGTTATGGATCCTTTGCTCCACAAGGGGACGGTGGATTTGGATCACTGCAGCATCATACGTCAATTGCAATACAGCAGACTGGAGATAGATGCTCTCTATCTGTTTTCTAGAGGGTTCAGGAAGCGCCTGGATCTGATGGGAAACTTGGTTCCATCGGCCGTCACAATCCCAAAACTGTAAATCAAATAGTTCCGGGAGTTTGTTCTTCCACTGCATCAACAGCATGTCAAACTCCTTGGTTATTTCAGCGATAGCACGTAAATCTTCCTCGTCAACTGCATTACGCGAGGGCAGGCGACGAAAGCGTAGGAGACTCTCTCGAGTGATACAGTAAATTTCTCCCTTTAGAGCGTGAAACGTAGCCATGGATGTTGTACCACTACTGTTAAGTAGCAGCGGGTTCGTAAGTAGCCAGGGGTCGATCTCCAGATCCTCCAGAGTCCCTAGTTGATGTAACCCCACAGATGAGGGATCTACAGATGGCGGACGTCCATAGATCACTGAAGAGAAGGTGTCTGCCACGATTATGTGGTTCCAACATCGAGAACGAACTTCATTCTCAATAAGGTCCTTGTTTGAGTTTTTCTGAGATTGGATGTCGAGAGCAAATGCAGCCCTTACTGCCATCCCAAGAGTCGTCCAGGCAAGATTAGGAGAGTTGTGGAAGACATAGAAGCAAGACAGCAAGATACCAATCTGGACTGATTCAATCTGGCAATCTTCTAGAACATCAAGAAGGTGGTGCCTGACTTCCATAATGAACCCCTGCAGAAGACTGTGCGCATTAATGGCGTGTCCACGCAAAAGATCATGCCCCGGCCACTTGGTGTCAGGCATTACGGATTGCAATCCTATAGCTGCGACTGAAAGAACAGCCATGACAGCACTGAGATCTTGACGTCTCCATACTTTTTGCGAAAGAACTCTCTGCGCAGTCTTGCGAAAGGAGGGTTCATGGAACAGTAGAATGTGCCATTGCGTTCGATGAAAGTATGCGTCAATCAGTGCCTGCATAACGCACTCCGTGGGCATTTGAAATTTTTCCAAATGCCATATTGTATTCTCGGAAGTCGGCCTGCCAACATCACCAGGTATAGATGCCCCGGTGAACGATCGACCGGTTTTTTCCTCATCAAACACGCTTCGCGCAAAGTCAATGGCGGATATATTCGTCCGAAACCCGGGGTCTGTGTTTGAAGTATTGGAATCGGGCATCGAGCTTCTCTGTGCTAGTGCGATCGCTGCCTCGTTGCCTCCATGAGGCGCAGGACGGGGGATCGATCTTGTCGAAGTTTCTTTCATGGCACGGGCTTGGCTTCGGGCGCGCCTTCGCGGTGGATGTTGCGATGTCACACATTTACTGTCGGCACGAATACATAAAATACAGGGTCGAGTCGCGTCGCACTGTTAATCACATTAGATCATTTATGCACAAGACCAAATGGGCATAAGCGGTGCAGCAAGTGCTTACCTTGAGTTTTTGTCGGCGGCAACGGTCGCATGCCTTGGATGTGCGAGAACTCCGCACGGGATCTCGAGACGCTTTTGCCATCGTACCGGCACGTGTTGTCAGGTTGGGGAGACAAACCCAGGCAGAGCTATAGTGGGTTGCGATGAGTGGGGATAAAATAGCGAAGATGGGGACTCCGTAGCAGCCGGGAGCTCCCAAGCAACGATAGGGCAAGTCGCGGGAAAGGCGAATTGCGAATATCGGAATCCAATGGAAGTGAGGATTACCTCGATGCCCCGCCCGTGCTCTGCCCTGGGCATGCAACTTAGAATGTAGAGTTGGACAATAAGTAGCGGTGCCAGAGGGGCCGAATACGGCCGGCCTGTCGAGCACGACTCCGTCGAGCCTCAAGTTGCTGGCTCTCAACCGTTCCGTCGCCTAGTCCAATACTACAGGCTCGGGTCTGTAGAGTGATCTTGCAGATGCGCCAGGAAGAGCGCCAAGAAGGTCAGAACCGAAGTAGACCCCCTGCTTGTAGAGTGGTTTGTTTTGAAAATGAACTGCGAATAGAGCCAAAGGTGATACCCAAGGAACAATGTAGGATTGAAAGCGAAGAACTAGGCTAGATATGTGGAGTGTCGGTATATTATCTTTGGTAGCAACTCCCAAGCGCACTCCTCAGAGCACGGTAGTCATTCGGGATACTCCTTAGCTACTCCCTGAGGCTGAGCAAGGTGGAAAATATTTTCGATCGCATTCTCTGGGGAATGCTGGGGTATGCCGACTTGAAGCTACCTTGGAAACGGAATCGGATCATCTCGTGGCCTATTTGCGGGCTGTGCCGGTGGCAAAGTATGTGAATTGACTTCCGGTGGAAGCTAGTGATGCGGGGCCAAGATCTACTTCATTTTATTGTACCGGTGGAATGAACTGGAACAACTTAGGCTCGGGCGAGTGACCGGGCAACTAGCTGCGAAAAAGCGGAGATAGTTACTCTGTGTAAAAGATGGAAGCCAATTTCGAATATGAGTGTACAATCCCTGTGTTCATCCCACTATCATCAACTACCGAATGATAATGTACAAATTTAGGCCTCCAGGGCCTTGAGGAACGCTGGGCTCTCATGGCCCTGCGAAACCTTCGCAATCGGAGTCAGGTACGCCTTCGAGCCCTCCTGACTTTCTTGAAGGCGCCGTATATAGGACTGGGCAACCTTGAGCCACAGCGCCCTCTCCCTCTCACTCGCCCCTTCGCCCTGCCAGACCCAGAGCCTGTTCCCAGCATCATAAAGAAACACATCGTCTCCATCCAAATCCGATGTCCGCACCCGTTCCCCATCCTTGACCAGGTCAAAGGATAGCGTCCCCGTGGAGTCACTGAGCCGGAACAGTTTGCGCGGATTCCCACTGCGAACAGTCTCTCTTTCCGAGAAGAATCCAGGCCGCGAAGCCTGGAGTGTAGATTGGGCGGCCTCCTTGCCTCCCAACAGATCGATAATGATCCGCGATCTCGACTCCAGCTGCGAAAGCACTTCCACGTCGACGTGCTTCGCCAGCGTCAAGTCGTTCACCACCTGCGCGGCTTTGGCCTTTTCCATCGGGCTGCAGTTCTTCCCCTGCCACACCCAGATCTTGTTGCCTTTGTCCAAGACGAAGACGTCGTTCTCGTCGAGGCTCTCCCAGGTCGGTTCCACCTCGTGGACGATCGTGGCGTTTAAGCGACCGGCGCCGGGATATTTGAAGATGCGCAGCAGCATCAGCACCTCCTTGGGCTCTTCTTCCTCGACATGGTTGAATCCAGAGCGCACGCCTCCAGACCGGATCGAGACATGGGGGAACAGGGCGAGAAATTCGTCTGACGGGTGCTGCTGGATCTCGCGATGCTGCGTCGCAGCACCATGCAAGAACTCGTCGAGTTCCACGGTCTTGTAAGCGGCAGTGCCGGCCTCGTCCTGAGTGGTCTTGCTACCCAGCCAGAAAAAGACATCATGGCCTAGCTTGTCGTGGTCGCCGACCTTGTACGAATGCAGCACAATGTAGCTATCACCATCGTAGAATTGACCATTCTTCTCCTTGGGCCAGGGGACGACTTCGAAATTCTCGATCCGCCAAACAAACAGCCCGGCCTGCTGTCCCACCTTCCCGTCGTTCCAGGCGGGCTCGGACGCAGCCGAATTGTACTTGACGCGGTGGTCGAGGTCGGACCCAATGAGCTCCACATTACTGTCTTTGATATCGTACTCCTTTGGGTGCACTAATCCTTCGTGAGGAGCCATGTCGTAGAGTTGTTGATAGTGCTAGATCGGGTTTGGATGCTTGAGACCAAGCTGAAGGACACCCACCACCGACGCAATTGCAGTGGGGCAGGGGGCCGAGGGCGGGGCACCATGAGGCAATTAGATAATCCAGGTACGTACGACCAGCAGCAGCAGTGACAGGATTCGCTTAGTACAGTGAAGATCTTCGAAGGCGCAACTCCGGGCGATTTCACTATGCGGAGGCTCCGTCATCCTGGAGCGCCTCATACATCTCCGTCAGGTCAAGAGCCAATTTTTCTCCCATATCTTCTTGTCCGGCCCAACGACATCCCTCGCACATACTGCAAAGCCCAGGTCACGAATCTGTGCCAACGTTCCATCATATTGGCCCTCCCCAACTCACTTGGATGGAGTCAAGCGCCTCCATATAAAGTGCAGAGTCGACTACCTTGTCAAGTTTCTGAAGCTTCAGACCCTTACGCTCATTGTCCGTGCCGGCCGACTGAGAAGTAGCAGATACAGCCGATGACACTAGCAGTTCGTCCCACATGTCTTGATAATTCGCTGCGATACATGCTCGTAGACATAGGGCCAACATATCCGGTCTTTTGCGCACGAGCCTTGCGTATGTTTCCGGGCAAGCACATGCAGAGAACCAGATATTGACAGGGACTAAATAGTCAGGAGTACCCTCAGTTATGCAAGTGGTATCGTCACTCATGATACGCCGGGCGTTGATTGCGTGCGGATTCTACTATCAAGGTAGTGCCCTTCTGGAATTCTGGTAGCTCGGTAGTCCACCATTTCGCCCAGAGAACAGAATGATAGATACCACGTCTAACACAGCTGCTTTCGTCGCGAATCATACATAGCCGTCGCAGACGTACGTATCGATCAATATCGGCTATATATGCGGCCGTCAGAATGAGCTTATCCTTGTTTATCGGCGGGAGGTCCGTAGGAAGGGCCGAATATGAAAGCGGGAAATAGTCCGCAGGTGGCGCGGATGATTCACAGTCGTGGTCATCTACCCCCAAGTCTTCTGTAGTATTGAAATAGTGAGACGCATCGTGGGACTTATCGACAAGCGGCAGGTAGGCTATCGTGTACTTTCGGGCCTTATGATGCGCCTCCTGGGCTGAAAGGCTCGAGGAAACAGCGGTGTCACCATTCAGTGGTCCAATACGAGGGTTGGAAACATCTACAGTTCGTGTGTAATCATTCATCAGAGCAAATTATGCGCGGATACGACATGATATGTTGGTAGATTACCTTACTACCCTCATTCTTCCTACCCACACTAGCGTGACAAGCTTCTTCTGCAACGTGGATTTCCGGAAGAAGATCTATGGGCTTGCCCATGGTGAGGGTAAGGTCGAGAAAGAGGAATGGCTGATCATTTAGTTGAAGAACGCGACTTTTTACAGTCTTATTTCTTTACTCTAAAGTAATATATACAGTCAAAAACGCAAGAATCCAGTGTATTATTAAACATTACATAGTTCTTTTTCGGCGAGGACTTTATTGGGGACAGTAACCAACACGGAAGCCTGTGTCTGGGACTCGGCGGCGCAATACTTCGCCGTAAATCTAGCCGTGCTGACGAGAAGCAGAGAGAATATCGTGGCAGGTCGCGCCATTGCCTCGTGAGAAATTCATTCGCATCTGTACTTGAGCCTTCGATGCATATCCCTGGGTTCGGTCCATTGAGAGCTTGTGGACTGCACCCTCGAAGACAGACAATAGACGAATGTTGCAAGATGCCAAACACACAACATCGAAGGTGACAAAGGTCCGCTACCATGCGCAATAGTTCAAGTGGAAGGTCCTGCAAGGACTGGGGATTCTGTACGCTGGCCATTATCCTAGTATCTGCATGCCAAAAAATGTAGGTAAAAGCCATCGACTCAAGCGATTTCAGTAATGCGGATCGATCAATACAGAAGATACAGAACAAGTTTGGAGAAGGGAAAGAAAGAAGGAAAATTTACAGGTCAGGTGGGATACCAGTTGTCCGAGACAGGGTTGGTATCAAACGGGGAAAACAATATTGTGCTCTATGCTGTACTCCCCACGCGGATTAGAATTATGTAAATAAAGCTCTGCTTCTCTACCGTGTGCTTCTCTCCCGCCGTCTGCTGTGGATCCATATTAGATCGGATGTGGGTCGTAAACAAAAGCGGAGCAAATCATACTCTCCGAACTATGGAAATCATTAACTATTCAGGCTAGTGATTGACACAAAGTCGTAATATTATAGGTTCGTGTGCCGATTCTGATGACCCATTATTTCCGCTATCGCGATATCCGCAGATTTAGTGCCGAGGGAGAATTGACTTTGAGGTTAGGGGTAGATGGAATGTGGTCGCGGAGCTGAGCTCGGTGGAAAGAAAAGTTTTTTCCATTTGCAATATAAACACACACACTCTCTCTCCTGTCCTCCGTCGTGACTGCATTCACCTGTTTTTCCGTCATGGCCCCACAGGATTCTTCGCGACCAAAGAGGATTCTTATGCTCACCAATGTCGAACGGGGTGAAGCTAATGTCTTCCTAGCAACATCTTATTCTCTCCTGCAACGCGACCCTACTGCTGAGCTACATTTCGCTAGTTTCGCAGGCTTGGAGGATGAGGTTACCTCTCTCTCTGAAGATGTGTGCCGGAAGGTGCCCGAGGCAAAACCAATCATCTTCCACAAGATGAAGGGTCTGACCATGAAAGAGGGTCTCCAAGACTACATCGTTAGAGAAAAAGTGGCCGTGCGAAAGGACCACATCCCCGAGTCATTTTTGGCCCCACTGAGCTTCTCTAATACAAAGCGGGCCATTCGAGACACGATCCCAATCTTTGTTCCCTATGATGGTCCACAGCTAGTTCAGCTAGTTTCATCCATCATCGAGATCATCCAAAAGGTTGAAGCCGATCTCGTCGTGGTGAATAGTTTGATGACTGCAGCGCTTACAGCCTGCTATCACCTGGGAACCAACTTTATTTGTCTCAGTCCAAACGCTCTCAGGGAATTTGCAGCCTCAAGTCAGCCACGGGCAGCTGGACTCTGGAAGTTTCCTGCGTGAGTATTACATATCCTCATCTGCTATCCACCTCATAAAGCCGGTCGGTTCCTAACAGCCATAGACTTTTCTCTGGATATCCATACCCTGTACCCTGGTACCGCATACCATTCAATATCTATTTTATTATCTATGCGGTGCTCAGATGGGTGACAGACAAACACAGGAAGCGAGTGGAGAAGTACTTGTCTGAAAAAACCGGTGCGACTTTGAGAACACCCCTTGATCTCATTGAGAACCGAGTACCCAATTTGAAAATCCTCGCTAGCACTTTCCCTGAGCTTGATTTTCCTCTGATCATTCCCCAGCATGTCATTCCCTGCGGGCCGATTCTTCGCAATGCCTCTTCATCTCTCGCAGTAGCAGACCCCGAGCTCGAGAATTGGCTGGCCCGTGGACCAACGATCTATCTTAACCTGGGAACTATATGCCAAGTTACAGAAGATCAAGCAGCGGAGCTTGCATTAGCCCTGAAAACCGTTCTGGACACCCTGGAAAAGGAGCGCGAGTCTAAGAATTTCCAAGTTCTATGGAAAATCAAGAAAGCCGGGGAGTACACCGTTTCGGAGCCCGGGTGCAAGGTTGAGAAGATTCTTGGCGAACGCATTCGCGACGATTCCATTCGGATTGTGGAATGGCTTAAAGCCGAGCCGATTACAGTTCTCCAGTCTGGTCATGTTGTGTGCTCAATCCACCAAGGGGGTGCAAACTCGTACAATGAAGCAGTGAGGTAAGTTTCCTTCTGTTTGATTTCGAGTGTTTTCTACAGCGGCTAAAGGTTATTTTAGTGCCGGTGTTGCTCAAGTGGTTTTGCCACAATGGACAGACTGCTACGACTATGCTCAGCGAGTTGAGATGCTAGGAATCGGCCGACTTGGAAGCAAGAAGGCCAAGCCCCAGTGGTCAGCTCCGGAGCTCTCCAAGGAGCTTCTGTACGTCTTGCATGGTGAAAGCTCAAATACCATCAAACAAAAAGCGACTGAGCTAGCAAAGCTCTGTGAGAAAAAGGGCAGTGGCGCGGATACTGCCGCGCAGGTCCTTTTGGAGGAATGTTCGAGAAACGATGTTTAGGATAGCCCAGAATGATTTTAGAAAGAACAAATTAAACTACTCAAATATGGCGCTCCTCTTTTATGGATAGTTCAACGACGCTCACTGATGGAAAAACTATCAGTTCTCTCGACTTCTGATTTTGGGAGCAATAGCTGAAGATACCGAAGAAGGGCGAGAAAAAGAAAGAAACATCAGTCTTTAAATTCCATTGCTGTATCGTCTGCATCATCCAAGACCGTTAACTCCAATGTTCTATGTATAAATATCAACCAATATGAGGTATACTGTCAGTCCAAGTCGTAGAAAATGCCCCCGAGGGCAAGAATGCCAAAGAACGCAAGGCCTCAACAGCGGCAAACAATCTAGCAGCAAAGAAAACAAAGAAGAACAGGCCCGCCACGTTATTGGACATAACAGTCACCAACATAGACTGTTGGTTAAAAGCACGGGGAAGCCACTTGCTGAAGTGCGAAAAGGTAAGACTCGTTATCTTTGAAAGAAGGTACATGACTGGAATTGCAGTGGCCGTTATGATTGAGCTTGCCTGCCAAAGCACTCTCTCGATTAGTGTGGGGAAAACGAAATCCCAAGCCACGCAGTGGATCAATCCAAGAATCAACACGCTAAACGCCGCGCCATTTGCCAATGTTGCGTTATCGGCTCTTTGTGATGTTCCAATGGCGTGCAAGGAATTGCTTGGAACCCAGAGATCGGATCTAGGGAATATATAGCAGCCAGGACCTGCGACGGCCACCCGACTGAGCTCCTGCTTTGTTGCGTATCGGGTTGCAGAGAGAATGACAGATGTATGGACATCCTTTGGTTTCTCCAACAGTAGAAGGTATGTGAATACTGTCGAAACTGCGAAGGAGAGTGTCAAGATCTCAAGCTGGCTAGTTGCAAGGTGTCGAACGAGTCTCGTAATTGTCTGGATCAGGAACCAAATAATTTGGAGGACTGCAAATATCTTCACCAATTGATCGGCCTTATTCCGGTCTGCGAGTTCGTCATCGGACATGCAAGGAAGCTGTTCGATGATTCCGAGCTCGCGTGCGAGCAGCAGCTGCTTCGCGTCCAAAACCCAGAGATTTCCTTGGAGGACAAAAAGATTGCCAAACCAAACGCCCGCAGAGTTGCGAAATCTGGCTTTCTCCCAAGAGCTGGGAAAGAAGGCCATATCCACCGTCTCTAATGCTTCACGGAAAGCATCGCGGTTCTGCTTATCCGGCACCCATGGGAGCAGTCCATGGTAGTAAGAGCTGTCCCGAACCCTTTTTTCAATATCAAATTTCCCAAAAAGGCGATCCAACAGCTGCAGCTTATCTTTCACGTCTTGCGGTAAGGTATTCTGCTCATCTACCTTCTGAGTTTGGCCCACGGTGACGCATTTCTCAAGTGAGACGATATCCGGGCTGGACTGGACGTTGATGAGGTTGTTATTGATCGAACTCTCCGGTCGGCCTGAGCTGGATACCGGCGCCGAATTTGAACGATTTAGTTGTGTCGTATTATTGCAACTCCCAGAGAGCTCCGTTTCAACAGCAGCATTAGAGTCTTCTCTAGTGGCCACGAATGAAGCCCGAGCCGAGGTAAAATGATAGCCATTTGAAGGATCATCTGTCTTGCTTCTCAAAGCTGAAACATTGGGATTCTTGTCGTCGCTGGGCGCAGGCATAGAGGACGAAGAGAACCGAATGGCGAAACCGCCCATGTTGGCCAAATGAATGTGGGCGCGACTCCAAGGGACACCATCTTGCTCTTGAAATTTCTTGAAGCCATCTTCCAGAGATGAGACGGATTGGTAGTCGGCCCAGGCTTTGGCAAGAGACCATTCAGGTGCGAGCAAGTTGAGGAGCATCCAAGAAAACTTCCAGAACAGTCGAACAGCAGCGCGGTTGAATTTTTGTATTTTGCGTTGAGGACTTGTCTGAAATGGAACTGCCGGATGGATGATAGACCAAGTGCAGATCAGAAGGACGCTCAGGCAACTCCAGAGAATATCCAAGGTACCCCTTACGTTGGGACTGGACACAAAGTTCACTCCATCCGGGGGCAAGGTGTAGTTGCCACTGAATGTCTTCATGGCCTTGAATCACATGCATAGACCAAAAGGGAGGACGCTTGCAGTGGATTGCCCCCTAGAAGGAGGGTGAGACTGTTATTATTTATTCGGAGGGCTAATTAGATCTGCTAAAGCTGCAGCTAGTCACCTGACTAGGTCTCAGCCTTGACCAAAGCACTATGATTAAATTATTTATGCGTTGGGCCCACTAAAAAGAGCCACTGGCAAGTGCTAGCGGAATCAGCCCAAGTTGGGGCCGAAAATTTCAAGTACAGCTACAGCGGGAATCGCGGCGCTGAACTTATGGGCCAAAGCAGCCAAGAGCAAGCACAAACAAAGACGATCAGAAATGTGGCACTCTGTAGACATACGTTACTACAAATGACTTAAACTGTAGGGATAATCATGCTATCTACTAAGTTGATAGTACTATTCAAAGCTCACAATAATAAAAATTAGGGTTGTTTATAGCACGACGTGGGTACAGGCAGGACAAACCCCTCTAAACTCTTAAATATAAACAAGGTGATGTATGCGTTTTGTGGTAGCCGTCAGCCTATACTGTACATTCAATTAGGTATCTACCCCAGATCATAGCGCCGTCGTCTGTATATACAAGTGGCGACCCATCGTCAACCACCCAAAGAACCGAGATTCCAGCCTTGGAAGTCTCGTAGAAATAGAAACAAATATAATCAATCAGCACTGCAGAGGCAGATATCCAACCCAAAAATTTCTCCAATGACTCCCCGGACCAAACTCCGAGACACCACCGCAACCCAATCGAGTGGGTGCGATCGCAGATGCAGATGCAGATGGGGTGTAGGTACAATGATATATGATAGAATTAAAAAAAAAAGCAGGAAAAAGGGCGTTAGCCGGCTTGGTTTAGTAGCCAAGCACCGACTTGAAGGCGTCACGCTCGGCTTGAATGTCTGTCTGGAGGCGACGGGTTTGGCGGAGGGCCTCGTCTCTGTGTGGTGAATTAGTCTCTGTATTATGGGTCGACAAGAAAATCAGTGACGGTGACATACCTCTCAGCTTGAAGTTCAGCCACTTCGATCTGGGCACGGTTCATCCGTCCAATCACCTCCTCCATCTCCATGTCCGCATCGCGAAGGGCTCGCTCGAGCTGCTTGACCTGCTTCTCGAGGGCTTCAGGCTGGATTACCTGGGTCAGCGGGATACCGTCTCCGCTGGTGGTCTTCTCCAGACGCGGCGAGCGTGCCCCGAAGGGGGTGTTTGGTGGTCGTGGAGAGAGAGTGACGGGGTCACGCGATCCGTTCTTCATGCGCATGAGCTGAGAATTGTGGTTTTCCTTCAGCTGGCGGATCTCCTCCTCATGCTTGCTCATCTCTTCCTCGGAATGCTGCTGAGCTTGCACGAGGGAGTCCTCCAACCCCTTGAGTCGGTTCTGAAGAACATTGATACGCTCAGTCGAGCACTGCTGGTCACGCTCACCCTTGTTGATAGCGTTGGCAAGACGTTCGCGCAGAGAGCTGTTCATTTGAAGTTGGTGATTGACTTCGTTCCCGAGAGCATCCGTGCGCTGGATAGAGGCCACAAGCTGTTGGGAGTTCGCGCCGCTGCCTTCGGCCTGGTTCCGTTGGGCCTGTAGCTGCTGGTAGGCGGATTCTAGGGAAGATGACGTTGCTAGAACCTCATCGGCTTGAGCGTCGGAAGCGGAGACATCATGCTCTTGCAGAAGCACACGGAGAGATGTGGTCTCCTGCTCGGCACGGTCCAGATCCATTTTGAGACCGGCAAGATTCTTCTCGCACTGCCACTTGCTATCCAAAGCATCTTCTGCGCGCTGGCGAAGGTGGCTCACCTCATCTCGTAGGTTGCGTACTTCCCTCTCGTAGCCGAGCCTGCGCGGAGGAGCAGAGCCCTGAGTCCGAACCAGCTCTAGTTCCAGAATCCGCATGCGTTTCTCAAAGTCGCGGGCCTGGAACGCCTGGCGGTCAAGAAGGCTTCGTAATGACCGGTGAAGCGCGTCCCGCTGTGCTTCGATCTCCTTGACCTTCTCAACCAAGGACTCGCGGCTCTCCTTAACACCCGTCACAGAGTTGGATCGAGATAGGCCACCAGACTTGCCAGGCATGCGTGCGACCGAGTTCGACCGTCCGAGACCGCCGAAGACCGAGTTCCGCTTGGGAGCCGCGCCATCTTCCGAAATGGAGGCAAATCGGCTGCCCTGCAACTGGGCCAAAGCGGCATTTTCAATTTTGAGAGCTTCGTTCTCTTCCATTAACCGGGTCGCCACGGCCTGTGGGGTGTCGCCATCCCGAAGCTGATCCCGGTCGTCTCGAAGTTGGTTCAACTCGACCCTCATGGCAGTCAGGAGATCTTCGAAGTTGTCTTTGGATTGTCGCTCTTCAATCAGCTTCCGACGGGTGTTTTCGAGGGCAGTCTCGAGTTCCCGGGTCTTGGTTGATAGATCGGATAAGTCTACTCTCTCGCGTCGAAGCTAATAAAAAGTCAGCACATATTTGAGATCATATCCAAGGTCTGAATCTTACCTGTTGCACTTGACTCTCCAGAAGCTGGACATGGGACTCGGATGCCGTCCGGTGTGACCGTTCATCTTGCAGCTTCTGGGCCAGTTCAACCTTCAGCTGTGCTCGTTCCTGTTCATGTTGCCGTCGAATCTTTTCCACATCTTCGGTATGACCGGAGTCTAGAGCATAACGAATTGAGCTGCTAGTTCCAGAGTCGGAGAAGTAGTCACTGGTACGCCGATTGACATCTGGTCCTTCAGACTGCAGTCGTTCAACCAGGTCTTCAAGTTCCATCTCTCGGCGGATGGAGCCCGCCAGCTCAGAACTGATCTCTCGCAATTCATTTTCGAGGTCGGCAAACTTGGACGCATATACACTGTCCTGAACACTGGCATCGCCTAAGGATTTGTTTGAATTGTTTCGTACTGGCGGGTGGAAGCCATTAGGTTTGGTGTCATAGGAAGAGGGGGGTTTGATGGGGACGTTGGCTAGAGGAGGCATTGGAGATGATAGTGGTGAGCGGCCGGTATCTGAAATCTCGGTACTAGAAGATTCCGCTCCGGGAGATGTAGAACCTTTCCAGCCAAAGAAAGAACTGATTTTGTTTCCGGGTGTTTTGGGTTGCCTGGGATCGACCGCGCTCATTGGTGGCGGCCGTCCGTCCACGTCGATATGAAGTGGTGGTGGTCGGCTCACAGGCGGGTGCAAGGCCATAGTAGTCGCCCGCCTTTGGGTTGGGGGAGGAGAGTTGAGAACCGGAATGAAGGGTTCGCTCACAAGACGACTGTGCAGTGAGGTGCCATTCGTAAACTGATGTTCGTAACTGTTGTCAAAGTAGTCGGCGCCCCCTTGGTCGTCGTCGTCGTCCTCCTCGTCCTCAATCACGGACTGTAGGAAGGACGCCGAGGCAGCAGTGTCGATTCGTAGGGGCTGCGGTGGGTATGTGCTCCGTGAGAATCTAGGAATGCGCGATAAGAGCCGACCGTTAGTCTTCCATGACTTGAACAACCGGGACAACATATAGAGGACCAGCGCCAGTAGTATGGACTTGCGCCAGTCAGTGAGTGGTGGTTCACATACCGATTGGGGTTGGGTGATGTCGAAACAGCTCCCTCCACGGGGGATGGCGATCTAGGGAGGGTGGTGGTGGAAGGGGGGGAAGTAGGGTTATTATCAGGGATGGAAGAAGGAGGAGAGGGGTGAGCAATAGTAATCCCTAGATCGGCATGCTGGGGCAGAGGCTTTCGGCGGACTACAGGTGGAGGAGAAGAATAGAGAGAGGAAGAGGGTGAGCCGACGGAAGCGCCGTCAGGAGGAGCGGGAGAGGCCATGAGACACCCAGATCAACGATCAAAAAATAGCCATGGGATCGACGGACAAAGTCGCAGAGCATGAAAGGAGAGCACGCGCCAATTGGGAGAGAGACGAAAGGGGAAAGGATGGCTAAGTGGTGAGGACGAGGAAAAGGAGTTCTGGGCGGGACGAACAAGTGGATCCAGGGGCCGAACGCCACGAGAACGTGCTAGGATTAGTTTAGTCCCGTAGTGTAGTTGTTGATACTTTTCTCTCTTCTGTTCTTTGTCCCTTTTCTATTCCTCGTATTACTATAGCCTAGGAGTCCTAACTAGACTGGAATTCCCTTATTGTAATCTGAGTCCTCTATCCATGTACTCTAAGTACTTCCTCTATCGGCGAGGGGCCAGATCAATAGTCTTCTGGCGGGCGCACGCCCCTTGAGTCGTGGATCGGGAGTGGGCGCTAATCCATGGGGCAATTCAGGGGTTGGCCCGATGTCCCCCCCGAGTACCTCCAGTCAGTATGACCACCCCGACCAGCAGTCATCAACATGGTTCGCTCTCGCTGACGCGTCGCTCTATTCATGCAACATTGAGGATACACAATTAGGCTCATGCGCAGGAACTAGCATGTCAACCAGGGGTGGCCTGAATACTACGACTGTCGACAATCACATCCGTGCGGGCGTGGATCACGTCAAGTCAATAATAACAATAATCAATTAAATATTATATTATTGCGGGTCCAGAGTCTTTCTATCTCTCTGCCCCTTTTCTGCCGTCCCTCGTCCAGGCACTATTGCCTCATTGGGCTGAACGTGCACCTGGCCGAACCGTGGCACAGTAGCGCCGATACCTAGCACCAATCAGCGAAATATCAGACCGGGCGTCTCGCTCAGTTCCTGCAAGTGCCGTTCATGTCACATTGAGGCGGGATGGACTTGGCCAATGCCCTTGCTCTGTGCTCAGTGGGCGGATTTAAATTCCTAGCCCTTGGCGGTGAAGAACCCCGCTCGGGAAGTGTGAGACATGGTTGCATAGCGTGTAGTATGTCCAGAGACCGACTTCGTCTGTCGATTGGAGAAACCGATGCGACCGTGGAACAGTGAAAACTAGCGCTAGCGAGACGGTGATGGCGCTCGAGTAACTTTTCGCTATGATCCGAACCCTAATCCCGCCCGGAGTGCATACAATCTGTTTCTTATCTATTGCGCGGTGGGACTAACTCATTGCGGAACTCCATCTGATATCTCAATCGATCGATCCGGTTCCCCAGTTCCCCCCACCAGCAGGCCGGATACCGGCCGGATACCCTAGTCTAGTCGCCTCCATTGAGAAACGGACTGCACGAGGGTATGCAAGCGGCGGGTATAAAGCATGGCAAGCTCCCAGCTAGCGGGTACAGACACAAATCACCGCCTCTGACGTGCCGGGCTTGTCTGTTGCCAGTCGCGGGGCCTAATAATAGTAATAATAAGGGACTGGTTCTGTTTCAACCGTTGCTTCATATCTCCGTGGATGCGACACGATCCACATCACTGATCTTGTCGAACTCATCAATATAAACCACGCCGCGGTCACGCAGAACCACTGCCCCAGATACTTGCTAACCATAACTGTTGGGAAACATTAGCTCGGTGAGCAAGCATATCGTTAGGGTTATTATTTAGATCTACGGTTGATGATATTTCTATAATCATAAACCATAAGCGTATCATATCTGCACTCTCCATTTATTCATCCATCCTTACTCCAAGATCCAGATCATAGCCACGCACATCCCACATCCACTTAGCGTTATACTCAGAAGCCGCCAAAAATGACGCAAAGTGCATCGCGTAATGTCTAGTAGTGGCCCTGCCTACCTTCGTTACGTGCCATGCGAGCAAAATCTACCCGCCCAGAGAACCTAGACTAATGATGAAGAGCTGCGATGAGGCACCTTTGCCGCTTATATCCCCGGCCGCTGTGAAGGACGAGAGAGTAGAAGTCAGCTTTGCTCCGGTATTCGTCACCGCTTTGAGTTCAGCAAATTGCCTACCATGGCATAGTCCAACACATTCCCCCGCCAGGGGGATGGCAGCAGCAACAGCCGCAATGAGCAATGCCCTGGGTACTAAAATCAAAACCATGACATTACCTTTGATTCTCAAGAAGCATAGCCACAAGAAGAAGCATGTACTCACCATCCCGAGAAACAAACTACTTATTTCAGCCGTCACGGACACACAAACCCCAAAACCGCTCGCGAATAGGAGCAAAAGAATACACATGTCAGTTGATAGTCCAACAAGTTCTACAAACTCAACGGGAGCTAGGGTGCTTGGCTTGGTGTCTCTTGCTATAGCGCCGAGCTACAGCATTCGTGCCACATACGATAGCGGTTTCTTAGCGTGCGCGCTCAGGGATAAGGAGTGCGTGTAACTGTCGATGGGTTGGAGATTCTACAGTCTCCGAGGGTAAACTTACTATTGATATCTGGACTTCAAAATTAAGTCCTCCATAATACTAGATTAAAATAGCTAATCCCATAGGTTGGTTATACGTCTCACATGAGAAGAGGCTGAGGCAAAATGTAGAAACAAGCCTCTTCTTCTAGACGTAAGATAATAAAAATAGTTAGAAAAGCTAAAAGTGTATAGTTCGTAACTAGCTAACCACTTCTACATATTAATACTAGGCGCTACATTTCACCGCCTCCCTTTCTTGATGGCTCATTATCATCTTCTTCCTTCTTTATGAATCAACTCATCACTAGTCTTACATTCGGCAAGCCACTGCCGGCCTGGATTGGATACGGCTACAACCAGTAGATCTTCCATCTGTCCAACTCTCTTCTATCTCAAGCCTCTTGTCCCCTTTCGGGCCTGCGGGTTTCTTCCACCAATCCGAACCAATCCGAGGATCCCTGGGGGTTGTATTGCAACCCTCTCCAAATCCTCTTGATACTTCGACTGATTACAATGCACACCCCTTAGCATCTCAATAGTATCCACGATGTCAGATCAGAAGAGCTGGTTTGATAGTACCATCAACAAGCGCAAGATCCTTTCACTTAAAGAACCAGTTCTATCGAAGTGGAAGCTTGTTGAAAAGCTCAATGAGCACGTTGAGCAACGCCCAGAAGCGAAGTCTCACACCTCCCTCGCCTCCGCAAGATTCCTTTGCCGTGATGCAAGTCGCCCTGCGAACGAGGCCACAGCCTACGCATACCTCCGAATCGTGAAACAAATCCCCTCAGAGAGGGCTGAGGAGGCAGACCTCGTGTCTCGGGCTCGCGAGGCCACTCAATTTACCCCACCCGAGCTCAAGGCTTATAAAGCTCTGGCCCAGAAGGGATCAACCAATACACCGAAGCTATTGGCGTGGGAGCAAGGCACGCAAGACTCGACTGGACCCATGCCCGGTGGCCATATAACCTGGATTGTCTTTGAAAAACTGGAGGGGCTCACGCTAGGAGATGATGATGAGGCTAGCTCATATTGGGCATTGCCGTCAGAGACCCGCAAGTCTATTCGTAGCGTCTTCCTAAGGGAGTTCAAGTCAGTCAAAACCACCTCTATATCAATGGATGATATTGATACGTCGATGACAATTAGCAAAGCTGCGGAGATCGGAATCTTGCCAGTTGCCCCCGGCCCTCATAACGTGATATGGAACGCTGAGAAGGAGACAATGTATGTATTGAAGAATCCCTGTCTTCGAGATCCAAACTTCAAGGCAATGGGCATCAGGTTACTAATATTTCATACATACTTAGCCATTTCGTGGGATTTAGAGACCCGGAATTCTTCCAACGCAAGCGTGAAGCCGGCAATGAACTATTCCCTCTGTTTGGGCTAGCTAAAGCACCTCGTGGGGACCGATGGGCTGAACGGGACTGGGATGGAGATACCTCTAAATGGAAATTTTAGTCAAGTAATCGCGCTTGGGATGATTCTCTTTGGATTCTTTGCTTCTTTTTGTTTACTCGCTTAGCCCTCTTAGTTACGAAACATGAACTACAAAATGATTTCCATGCCTACAAGTATTGTCCAAATTTACTACAATCCAAATTTGTCCTTATACTTTTCTTTGCAAAATGTACAACAGAGAGAGCTAACCTAAACATAGTGCCTTTACGGCCAACCGCTATAAAGTAGCCGGTTCTTCGATAGATGGTCGATTTCGATGCAAAAATGCTATAATTAGTCTAGTTAGAGATGAACCAGCTTTATATAGCCTTTATCTACTAATTATCGTCCGGTTTTAGACGATCTATCTTCGCATAAGAGGCAATATAGAGGCTTAATATCAACGACTTAAGACTAAAGATATACGCTGCTACTAGAGTGCCCATCTATACTTTAACATTCAGCCCGATAGCGCTGAATCAGGGCCCGAAGTGTCTCCAAACTTGGAACATTAGGATGTCAGATACAGTAGGGTATGTCTTCCGGCTCATTCATTTCAGGAATGATACCACTCGTCATATTACGAGCGTTCAAGGCGCGGGTGAACCTGGGATGACCCCGCGGAGTTCTTGAGCGAAGCCATGGTGATGGCGGATGCCGTGAATGATGCAGAGACGGCAGACTTCAATACCCAAAGCAGTGGGGACTCGCTCTCCGTGTATAGCGGCATTGCAATCGTCTGCGTTTTATACTGTGGCGTGCAGTATCTTCTCAAGTGACAGTTGATCCAACAGGATTTGCCGCTTTTCCTTCTGCTTCTTGGCTTTGCCCGTGGCGATGAGGGGACTGAGCGGAGGAGAGGTGATAATGATGCTTTGAAGCGATGGGAGAGCACGGCCCTTGTATTGATATGGTTAGTTGATTTCCGTCCGTGCCCCGCTGAACTACATACTGCAATGGAGATTTCGCAGATTTGGAGTCCTACTGAAGGGGGTCAGTCTGCCACTCTCTTCACGACCTAATTTATAGAGAGCTCTTATATACTAATCTTTATTTATTTCCCCATCGGAGGTAGTATGCATTTTGTACAGTCGGAAGCAATAGAGATTTCAGCTCATATGTACCGGCCCAGAGCTTAAAACAACAATATCAACAACACGAAAGCCACCCATTCCAAGCCTAAACGCCAAAGCTATCGAGACACACAAATAATCCAGGAAACGTCAGTCGTTGCACATCAGACATATACACTCGCTCTCGTGGCAGCCGGGTTCCTAGTAGGGAATGAAATCGAATTTCATTCGATCTTCGAATATCGTTAGCACTCAGTGTAAGTAACCACCAGAGGTTACCACAGGTTATCGATAAGACATACCCTGGAAATGATTCCAATCTTCATCCTCACTAATTTGATTGGCCCAGTACTGCTCCAAAAAGGTCAAGGACTGCAGCACATTCGGAATACGGATGGTATCATGCAGAGAAGACAATAACTGCCTGACCATATCTCGATCCTCGACGCGAGCTTCACAGCCCGCAATAAAGAGTGGTGTTGTGAGCATCACCCACGGACTAAGTCCGGATGACGGACCGATCTGGGCTGCGCATTCCAGAATCCGCTGGACGGACTGCTGGACGGCAACTGAGGTCGTGGGTGTTCTGCGGAGCCGGCGATGGATCTGAATGAGAGCACTGTGCTGGAATGCTTCGTTGCAAAGCATCAATTGCTGCATGCTTTCCGGCGAAATTCCCTCCGCGACGCCGGGGTAGAACGAGGGCTGCGAGCTGGCGCCCCGGTCCATGAGTTGTCGGACAGAGAACTCCAAAGATGCAGCGTCGTCTTCCACGTCACCGGGGATTTCTCCCGCGACAAAACCCTGCATATCCTCCCCGGCTTCCGACTGGTGTTTCCGCCAGGCCGCAGCCCCGATCTGACGGAAGACGGTTGCTAGATCGCACGTGAAGCCCCAATAGTCATCCAGGTAATCCGGAGACTCCTCCTGGCCGACGTCATACGGTGGTATAAAGTCAGAGAAATCGCCAATCGGGGGACCATTCCCCGTCAATGCCGTAAGCGACACGATCGAGCGATACCATCGATCGAGGTACCGGCGGAACCCGTCCGCTGAGCGCGGGGAATCTTCTCCCATCGTGTCAGCGGTCTTCATCAAAGCCCTCGCGCCCTCGATATGTGCTCGCCATGAGTTCGGGTGGATAGCCCCCGAATGAATCTCTGCGAGACAAAGTGTGCGAGCGGTGGCGAGGAGCGCTTCGGAGCCTTTGGTCGATGGGTTTTGAAGCTCCGTTCGAAAATGCTCCAGACTGAGCGCCATCAGTCGGGCGATATCTGGTGCCGACTTGACCGTCTCGGACTGATTGTGAAGAGCTTGGATATGGATGGCGGAGAGGGCGGTGGTGGCGTAGAGAAGCGATGGAGTCTGGAGGGCCATGGGTACGAGCATGCGGCAGATATCCTGCTGCATGCCCGAATGACACGCGGTGATTTGGGACGCATCGTTGATGAAGTGATGCAGCAGGGCCTTTTGATCGGAGGACAGCGACGAGAATGGGTCGACCGGTTGGGTCAAGGCCAGCTCGCGGTCTGCGGCGGTCGGTGACTTGGCGGAGTTGGCGGATTTGGTGGTGTAGATGAACTCCCCTGGCGAGTATTCTGGAGAAGAGCAACCTGAGTCAGTGTGTGTGCGCAGTAAAAGAGGCGTGGGAGGCACTCACCCAGTCTCTGCATGCCGCCGTCACCCACGCAGGCCCCGAAGCGCGAGCGCGAGAACGCTCGGCCTCCCCACTGCAGCTGCATCGCATACTTGCACTGCGCATCGGCTGTTTGGCAGCGGCCGCAGGTTGGGCGCTGCTCGTCGCATTTCTGGCGACGCGCCTTGCAGCGTTTGCAGCCGGTGAAGGATCGCGACATGGTTGACGATGATAAGAATGATGATGCCCTGAAAGAATTAATTATTGCGGGGAATGGAACCCCACGGAGAATGTCCGGACTGTGGCGAACAAGAACCCCGACGATAGACGAGAACAACCCGGGCACTTAGACTTTCTCTCTGTTTGGCCTGAACGGGTAAAACAATTCTTTACGATCGCTCCCGGAAACTATCTAGCGGCCGATCTCTCTCCACCGTGGAGCGTCGGGGGATGTATAAATACCGAGAACAAGATGGTTGTTGGACAAGCTAGAATCAAAAAAAGAGTATATGTGCATCCATTTCATCACCCGTCGAATGTATACCGCAGCCACTCGCCCACGGCCCGCAGACTCTCCCAGCGCACCGACTCGTCCTTGTCCGCCATCAGCTCCATCACCCGCGTCTTCAGGCCCAGGCGCTCCAACTGCATGCGCCGCTCCGGCAGCTCCTTGACCAGGTGTCCCACATCATTGCACCCAATCGCCAACACCTGCTTGTCATTGTCCCAGTCCTTGCCCAGAATCTCCGCGAGTTTCTTGGGCAGCGCGCCGTTCGATTCGTCCAGGATTCGGCGGGCGTTGTCCTTCCAAAACGTCGGGTTCTTGTGGGGAGGCGACCAGCGCAGGTGGCCCGACTGAACTTCCGCGGCGTACTCGTCAAAGGTAGTTTGCGTCTTGGTGTATTCGTCCAACATCGTCGACAGCGCACTCAGGTCCTCGAGGAGATCGGGGTCGGTCAGGTGGCGGCCAGAAAGATTGCTCAGCAGAGCCGGCAAGCGAACAAAGACGGCGATGGGCAGTATTGTAGTCCGGTTGCTGGAGCACAGATTGTATAGCGTCGCGATGAGGAGACGAGTTGTCTTCTCCTTGGGCGAGAGTCGCAGCAGGTGGGTGTATAGTTGGACGATCTCGTAGTTCCTAGGTAGTAAACAGTCAGACAGGTCGTTCGCAAAGCATCGGCCAAGGTCTCTCTCTTACTCCTGCAACTCATCCCCCACCAGCGCACCCTCAAACGTAAGCTGCCAAATCACCAGGAGAACACGGTAGAGCAGCTGCAGACCGACACCACCGGACAGCCCGGGCTCGACACTGCGAGTGCCGCTACCCAAAGTACTCCCATTATCTTTGGCCCCTGCTGCCGCACGGAGCGTGTCGATCAAAGGTTCTAGGGTCTGCTGGCGCTGGGCCCAAAAGATCTCCCGAGATCGTGTCTTCCGCAACAGCTCTGAAAACCCCTGGACGCCAATGTCCTGCAGGCCACTATCTTGGTTCTTGGTCAAGGTGGAGAGATAGGTGTACAGCTGTGACAGAGCTTCTTCATCTCTGGCGGCGGGTTTGGACGAGGCGACGAGGCTGTGCGACACCAGAGCTGTGAGGAAAGTCGACGTGAGCAGCGGGATCGGGTCCTCGGTGTTGGTCGAGTGTTGCAGGAACGGCAGGAAGGGCTTGTAGGGTTCTGGGTGTGCGATCAGAGCATCGGCGAGAGAGGGGACATCCTGGATCAGGTCCGATGCCAGTACCAGGATATACTGCACAATATCGGTGCGTCGAGCGGCCAACTCCAGGATACTCTTGCCCCCCGCGCCGCCAGCAAGCAGGCTGGTATAACCGGGAAGGTCCTCCCCAATTGTCTGGCGCCGCTGCTCCGGGCGCACCTTGTCGACGGCTTTGATCTTCTTCAGGTGGTCATCGGTGATGTTACCCGCCCGCACGGCGCCCTCCCACGGGATTGGGCGAGCCCGGATGTTGTTCTGGAGAGAGCTGAGGTAGGTGGGCGGCTCCAGTGACATGGCGAATTAGGGGAGCCCCCAGACGAGGAGGAGATTGGGGAAGGAGGGAAAGGTGGTGGAGGAGGAAGGACGTTATGGTAGGTGGTGGATTGAGGAACGGAAGGACAGAATGACGGCAGCCACGCCAAGACTTGGTAACGTCGTGGCATCGATTCCTTGTGTCTCGACCTGTTCTTTCCCTTTCTCCCCCCACTCCCCCATGGCCGATTATTCTTCTTCCCTCCTACCCTGCTCGCTGACTTCTTGACTCTCCTTTACCTGTGGCCAGCTCTCTGCGACCCGTGGTGCATCGTGGTGCGCTGCTGCCTGCCGCTTCTACGCTCCGACCCGAATTGCTCCCACTCAGTCTTTCTTTTGCTCGTGTCTGTCCTTTCCGCCGAATACTTACGCATTGACTCTGCTGCAACTCTGGCCTATCGACATATACCGTTTGTATATCACCTGCGATCATCACCTGCCCTGCGATTGCTGCTCCTACCAAGCTCATGCACCTGCACCACGAGCTTCTTGCTCCTTGCCGGTAGCCAAATTGTGACCTGCCGACAGCTCTACAACTCAAAATGGCGCAAAATTCACAACCTACAAAATCCAGATGGGGTGTCGGATCCTTCTTGTCGCAGGCTGTCGCTGGGGTGGAATCTCGCCTGGACAACATCCTGATGGACCAGGAAGAGGCTGCGAAAGCCGAGGGTGCGAAACCACGAGAGGCGGAGAATGCTGCGCAGTCCCTCAAATCTCCTGTTGGCTGTATGGATCCCATTTCCCCATTTCTGTTGTGAACGTGACTAATCTATCCCTAGCGATATCGCGCAGCTCATCGACCATTCGAAGAAACGACCGATTACAGGAGCGCCTGGCCCGAGCCGTTGTGAAGTCGAACGCTCCCAGTGGGGCTGGCTCTCCGGCAGCTAGCCCGAGACCTAGCGTCGATGCACGAAAGAGTACGGACATTTACCCTATAGGAGCCGATGGCCCAACAAGTCCCCCAATTGCAGACACGCCCAGATCCAGTCATGACTCGGGGGTATCATCAAGACGTTCAATGGATGTGCAGTCAGCAGACTCAATTGCCGTTCGCGATCTGCAAACACATTCCCCGAAGCCTAGCCAGGAATTGTCAGACTTGCAAAGGAGTGAGGTACTAAGTGCTCGTGGGTCTGGGGATAGCGCCCGAATCAGTGTGTTGTCAGCGTCGGATATCTTGAAAAGGGATGACCAAGACTCGGCCATATCTCAATTGGAGGCCGATCACAAAGCAGCCGAGTCACAATGGCAAGAGGAAGCGCATGGCTATATCGAACGAATTGATGCGCTGCAATCAAAGCTCAAATATCTGGCCAAGGAAGCGGCGGAATCTGCTAAGAACGCATCCGCAAAAGCAGCGCCAGGCAGTGTCGAGAAGCAAATGTTGGAAAAGGACGAGAGGATCGCCTTGCTCCTAGAAGAAGGCCAGAAACTCTCCAAGACGGAGATGGATCACCGCACAGTGATCAAGAAATTGCGCCAGCAGCTTTTAGAAAATACGAAAGCGCATACCGAAACGAAAAGGAAGACAGACAAGTTGCAACGAGACTTGATCAGCTCCGAAGCTAGAGTCAAACGAGCCGAGGCGGCTGAGAAAAGGGCAAATGAGTCGCTCTCATCTCAAACAAAATCCAACAAGGATTTGGAAGCAGTGACGAATGAACGAAATGCACTCAGCGAGACGGTTCAGGACATGAAGTCCCAACTGAGTCGAGCTATTGCACGCGCTGAAGCCGCTGAGACCAAAGCACAGTCCGATGCTATGGAGAAAGAAAATCGCAAAGCAGCAGACCTGGAAGAGGAATTGGCAAGCATGAAGATTGAACGTGATATCAGCCAAGAGAAAACGAAGAGAGAGATCGGCGATCTCAAGCAACAAATTGAGCAAGAGAAGGACAAGGCTAGAATGCTCGAGGCCGAGTTGAAGGGCGAACAATCGGTGCTAGAGAGCAAGATGGAGAGTCTTCGTTCCCGTGCAGAAGAGGCTTCGTCAGGGGCCACCGGGGAGACGCACGCCAAGCTCCTGCGGCAGATTGAAACATTGCAGACCCAATATGCTGTTGCTAGCGAGAATTGGCAAACATTGGAAGGCTCCCTGCTTGCTCGACTGACTAATGTGGAAAAAGAACGCGATGAAATGGGACGACGGGAAGGGGAACTGCGAAAGAAGATCCGCGAAGTGGTAAGATTTAAATTCTCTGGTTGGCCCACGCTCTCGCTGACGTGATTGCTCTATAGAACCTGAAGTTGAAGAAGACCGAAGAGGATTTAGAGAACTCGAAAGAGACCGAACATGATCTGAAAAGCAAACTGGAAGAGCGCATGCAGGAGCTGCAAAGGATGCAGCAAAGGCTCCAGAAAACTGTCGACGACCTCGCTGCCGCACAAAAGGACTTGGTCGACCAGAAGAAGGTCTGGGACACGACATGGGCGCAGAAACTAGAAGATGAACGAGCCAAGTGGAGGGAACAAGTAAACTCCCTCCAGCAGCGGCGCGGGACGTCTCCCGTCGCATCTAGCCGGCGATCAAGCAATCTTGAAGCAGCCATCTCCGGGCTGCCAGACTCTCGACCTACCAGCCGACGGTCATCCACACTACCCCCCGCCTCGCCAGAGATTGGCACACCACCGCGACAGAACTCCTATCCTGCTTCCATTACCCAGGCCACGCTCTCCCCTCCACACATCAACACCACTCACCCCCCATCGATAATGGAGGCCCCATCGATCACGTTTGAACCGGATGAATATTTCGGCGAGGGCATACCTGCTACTCCATCTGCCTATGGTGGTACACAGGCACCGCCATCTCGCGGAATCAATGAGCTCATTTCCGAGTCAACCGTCGGTGCAGGTCCATCCGTCCAGCTCGTTGAGCGCATGAGTGCCACAGTCCGCCGACTGGAGAGCGAGCGTGCCGGATCCAAAGATGAACTGACGCGTGTGACGACCCAGCGCGACGAAGCCCGCCAGCAAGTGGTTGATCTCATGCGTGAGCTGGAAGAGAAGAAGGTCTCTGACACTCACGTTGAAGAACTTGAAGCACGACTCGCCCAGGTCGACGCACGGTACCAAACTACGCTCGAGATGTTAGGCGAGAAGAGCGAGCAGGTCGAAGAGCTGAAGGCCGATATTACTGATCTCAAGAAGATCTATCGCGAATTGGTCGACAGCACCATGAAATGAAGACTCTTGTGATGAGCGCTGAGAAATTTTATACAATGATTTAGCGAGATTTCCTCGCTTCCAACGGCCCTCCAAAAGGATTCCTGTCAAATGTTTGTAATATCAGTCCGGATTTGTATATAGAGGCTTATTTGCTTACTTCATCTACCTGGGCCCCCTGCAGCGGTTCAGGCAGTCTTAACTTCTTAATTCTTGTTCTGCCAGTAGACAGCAAACACCCTTTTATAGATCTTAATTTATGTTTAGGTAGGAAACCGTCAACCCCGTTGACCTAAATAGGACTAAGAAACCAAAAAGCCGTTTCTCGTATCTTCAGATCGTCTCCCGATTGGCATTCATTGTTGTTTCCTCAGACGATGGGTGGGTCGGAGCCACTCAGCGGATCCAGTTAATACAGACGCTATCACCTTGTTGTTCTAGTGTATTTTGCATGTCAATGACCCTGCGAGATCGGAAGGAGGACTATCCCGGCTGGGTCCCTTTCGGAGCGTTCCTCATTCATGTAGTTTGATGTGTCGATTGTTTGCCACGGGTATAAATGGCGGCTTGCCTCCTCTCTTGGCCGGAGCACGCTCCTCGTTATTCTTGCTCCACACAGATACCAGTATTCAAGTCAACATGCAACCCTCCTCTATTCTATCCTTGACAGATCAAATTCGGGACATTGCTCAGAACCCAAATGAGTCTGGTCATCACCGTGCCAACCTGCTCCGGCTTGTGGACGAGTTGAAGCTAGCTGTTGAGACGCCCACGGAGACTATTCTTCGGTTAATATACCAGGTAAGATATCAAATTGACTCTTCTGTTTGTTCTTTGTATAACTCATGTATATAGCCACCTGCCAATGCAGCATTACGCACTGCCGTTGACCTCAGAATCTTTCCGCTCCTGGCAAAGAACGAGGTCCTGTCTGCTACAGAGTTGGCAATTTCAACCGGTGCTGACAGAGGCTTGATCAGTGGGTTCTTTGCGCTTCAGCCTACAACGATGATGATGCTCACAGCTCTGAACAAGTCCGTCTTATGCGCGTAATGACTGGCCTGGGTCTCTGTGCCAGTGACGAAGCGGAAGTCTACAGGGCTACTGAAAGAACTATCACCATGACCCAACCAATAGGTCGTGACGGCATTCCATGCATGTACGTTGCTTCCAAGGCCATAATTTACAGATGCTAACCCGCTCTCCTCCAGATACGACATCACTCTCCCAACTCTCGCCAAACTCCCCGAATACCTCCGTGTGCACAACTACAAAAATCCTCAGGAATACTCCAAATCTCCCATGCAGTGGGCTGTGGGCGAAAGCCAATTCGAATGGCTTGCTAAGAACAAACACCATCAGACACTGTTCAACTCGTACATGTCTAGCCGACGAGAAGGGAAACCAGCATGGTTTGATGTGTATTCCGTCGAGAGACTCCTGGATGGAGCCATTTGTTCGTGCCCAGAGGCCGTGTTTCTGGTTGACATCGGCGGAAACCAAGGCCATGATCTGAGCAAGTTTCACATGCGATATCCGGAGGTGCCGGGTCGACTGATCCTGCAAGACCTGCCCAAGATCGTCTCCGGAGCGCAGAAGCATCCCAGCATTGAGACGATGGGGTATAGTTTCTTGGACCCACAGCCGATCAAGCGTAAGTTTCTGGAACGCTGTCACAATATGTTGTATTCTGCTGCAGACTAACAGAAATGGATCATCAGATGCTCGCGCCTACTACTTCCGCGCCATCTTCCACGACTGGCCAGACCATATCTGCTTGAAGATCTTGCTCAACACTGTCTCTGCTATGGATTCTCAGTACTCCCGTATCCTGATCGTGGACTTTGTCCTCCCGGACACTAATGCCCCACTGATGCAGTCGGCGCTGGATATCCAGATGATGAGCATTGGGGCTGGTGTTGAGAGGTCTGAGCTGCAGTGGAGAGAGCTGCTCGGTCAGGCGGGACTGACGATCAATGGAATCTGGAATACAAGCCCTGGAATGGAGTCTGTCATTGAAGCTGTTCCGGTGTCGGAGGATTGAATGAATGAATGGAAGATGGTGGAATTGAGTTTCGGGATTGGTTCCTTTAGTCTTCATTACTACCTTCTTGAATTCGATTTAATATGAGTTTTCGTAGCTCTTCAACCCTTAGCCCCTTAATATCCAAAAGTGCTCATCAAGTTTATAGAAATTAAAGTCTACATGGTTTTTTGGTCCAAAGATGACAATAGTTCCACGAGCTCCATTAACACCTTGAACCTTAATCATCCGACTGCCTCCAAGCTGAGCGGCATTATCACGTTATTGCCACCCGTGGGCCCCGATACTGACTTGTGCTTGTCAAGCGACAAGAAGCCGGCAGGAGGCCCACATGGGATATGCTGAGCCATGTGCGGCTGGGGCCCAGTATCCTCGATACTTGGCTTAAAAAGCTTGTCCAAAAGGGTCTTGATCAACCAGGAATGTCATTGCCAAGGTGGCTATGTAGCTGAAGAGGAAGAGGCCCGGGTTAAGATCGTCAACCGTATACTAGGTCCACTTTCTACTTCACTGTGAACTACTAGAGCAAAAGAGTAAAGATCTGACGAAAACATGGACACCATGACGAATTTTGATCAGATAAGATGAAAAAATCCCATGGCTCCACTGTCCCCACACACTTGCCGTGTCTCCTTGGTTTTGCTCTTGGTCTTTCCGGCAAGTCCCTGTCGATGGATGATCGTGCAAAATTCCCGCATCGATGATCACAATTTCGAAGCTGTGGTTCTTGCAGTGGTTGTCTGTCCGTGCAGGATTGGACTAGTTCTTGGGGTGAACGCGGATCCCGTACACATAGCTGTCATGGCTGTAGGTAAGACATTTGTTTGTGCCTTGGTATCCGGATTTTCAGGCACCTGAGTTCCCTACATTCAACGATCTCAATTCATGTTCATTTTGTCGAGTCGGATAAGTCTTAAATACAAGAGGGATCGAGTGCTATATTCTCACTTTCTCACTACACACTCTCTTACTAGTCGTGTTACCCGGTTGACCCGAGCAACAGCTTTGTCACAGACACGAGGTTATTAGAGTCCTTGACCTAATTAACCTACAGCTCAACGTGTCCGTCGCCATCGGGGAGCAAGGAAGTAGCTTCCGCCCGCCGCCACGATACCCAGGCTCCCTAAGAGCAAGGCAGAATCACTGAAAATAGTTTCCTCTCGCACACGTCCCAGTTTTGCGTCCTTCTTAGCCAAGATGGCATCTTTTCCAGTCCCTTCAACACTATAGTCCTGCCAATGCAACTCTGAAAGCTCTCGCTGATAATTGAGAACTGTCCCTGACCAGTTATTCGTGATGATTCCGTCATCCCTCTTGTACCAGCTATTACAGTTCGGGTCTGCGAAACTGGTCTTCGACAAAACTGCCTGGATTTTGTCGTTAAATTCCTTCATGGCCTCAAGTTTGGGCGTGAAAGTCAAAGTCTTTCCCTGCTGTCGTGCCCGAATCACTTCGGCAACTATGGCATTCAAATACCGTGACTGCGCTTCGATCATGAGAATGATGGAATTGTGTCCTGCTAGAAAGTTAAAAAAAAAAGCCTACCCTCGACCGGTCGCGGAAAGATGCAACATACCCAGGTTGGTGTTGGGGCCATAAAACATGCCGAAATTGGGCAAGTCCTCCACCGTAATTCCCTTGTATGCCATAGCCCCGTTCTTCCATATATCTCCCAAGGGCCGGCCATTTTTCCCGTAGACCTCAATCGGGTACATAAATTCGACCGTCCTAAAGCCCGTAGCCAACACGATCAAATCGTATTGCTGTGAATCCTCAGCGCCAACTTCAATGCCCTTCTGAGTGATTTGCGTAATCGGTCGTGTCTCTAAGTCGACATTGTCACGAGCGAGGGCTGGATAGTAGTCATCAGAAATGATAACTCTCTTGCAGCCTGGAGCATAGTTGGGGGTTAACTTTTCCCACAGCTCCGGTTGGTCAGGAAGATGAGTCTTCATCATATTAGTACACCCGTCTCGTATCATTTTAGCGAAATCTGAATCATTATTCGTGACGGCAGAATAAAAGAGCTCTCGAAAGTCCATCTGAAGAGCACGTTTACGCCAACGGATTGGTGGGAGGTATGTTAACAATGCTTGCTGAAAGGCAGACACTGGAGCGTCCAGACGTGGAGTAACCCAGTTCGGTGTCCGCTGATAGACCGTCACATGGGATGCAACCTGAGCAACTTCAGGTAGAATTTGGGCTGCAGTTGCCCCTATATAGTTGAGAAATTAGCATGAAGACCAAATCTTTTGGGTCGGGAGATTAAATTTGCATACCGTTTCCAATGATTGCAACCCGTTTGTGAGAAAAGTCATAGCTCCAGTCCCATCGAGCAGAATGCATCATTTTGCCCTGGAATTTCTTCAACCCCGGGATGTTCGGTTCGTGCGGCGAGTTGAGCTGCCCGACGGCCGAGACAAGGAATTCCGTGTTGAGCACGTACGAGCTGGCGAACTCGCTATCTTTCTGCCCATCCACCTTCACGCTCACTTCCCATTTAGACTCGTCTTCATTCCACCGTGCTGATTTGACCGTCGAGTTGAACCGAATGTGCTTGAAAAGTCCGTATTTTTCCGCAACGCGAACGAGGTACGCCTATGTCAAAGCAACAAGGATTAGTTTCATAGAAAAGTAGGTCATGTGGTCAAAAAGGCCTTACATGAATCTCTTCCTGGCCAGGATATTCTCTCGACCAGTTCGGGTTCTGTTCAAATGAATAGCTGTACAGTGAGCTCCAGACTAAGTCCTAATCAGCTATTGAACCGAACAACGAGACAGGTAGAGATGCATACCATCGCAGCAACAGCCAGGGTATTTGTTGTCACTCCAGGTTCCACCGACACTGCTGCTCTTCTCAAGGATGATGAAGTTACGGCATTTGTTGTGCTTGATCAGATCAATAGCCATGCACATCCCTAGGGTAGAATGTTAGCATGCTCGATCTTATCAGCTGTCTCTGGAACAGTTTGAAGTTGACTGACCAGAGATTCCGGCCCCTATAATGACGACCGTGGCATTGGTAAAGTCTTTGTTCCCCACTGGGAGACGGGAGTTGGTTTTGATTGACATGATAAAACAGTAAGGGGAAGGCAGAGGAGAAGTGGCATTAATATCACTGGTTATAACTATAGTATATTATCAGGAGATCACTGGCATCAAACATCATTTATATTAATTGCAACTACCGAGGCCCCTCATTTAAATTCAGACTTTAGGTTGTCGACAGTGCTCTAGCCGGGAAATGTGATTCGCACCGACCTCGGCCGATGTCACGTCTCATTTGAAGCTCTTCGCGCATTGGGCAAACAATAATTGGTCACACACACACTAATAATGCGCATCTTCCGTGGCATAAATCGCCCCAATGCCATCACATAGGGGCCGATAGGATTTCGGTAATGTGGGGTTGAGATGCGGGGATTTGGCAGGAAGATGCCGAGGGAGGAAGAAGCTACCGACGTTCGGCAAGCCTTCAGAATTACTAGATCCATGAGGTACGCAGTAAGTACAAGACATCTACGGTAGTTCAACTCCTTCTCTTTCCGCCATTTGCAAGATGTACTGCTTGACCTATGTGAAGGAGAATCAGTACTAGTCCTGAAAATGTCAGACAGAAAATCGAACAACGTACCTTGTCATCCGGCACCAGATCGATGGCCAACCTCCCATTATTGTCCCTCTTTTCCGCTTCGGCGCCTGACTTTAACAGCAGGATCGCTGCATCCCCATGCCCTTCGGACACAGCGTGGTGCAGCGCCGTAAAACCATCGGCATCTGACGCATTAACGGGACTCTTTCCTTCTTCTAGAAGAGTTTTGAGGATAGGAACCGAGCCAACGGCTGCCGCTCGATGAAGAGGGAGCTGACCGCGAACATCCTTAACTCTGGCGCTGCACTTGTGGGCAATCAAGGTCCGGACAGTAGAAACGTTGGCCTTGGAGCTTGCAAAGTGCAAAGCGTTCTATAAAGGACATCAGCCAGAACGCAAACAAAATTTCGATCAAGGCAGAAGACAGACCTGGCCCGAAACGCTTTTGACATTCACATCCGCTCCTTTTTTCAGGAACAAGTCAATAATGGGGTCGCCTCCAGCGTCCTTCAGGCTAGCAGCGATCATCAGTGGGGTCCAGCCTGACCCATCCTGATCTGATAGTCAGTAATTTGAGAATGGCAATAGCATCGGAACTTGCCATTCTGGGTCACGTACTTCCACGTCAGGATCAAAATTCCTGCTGCCGACTAGCAACTCCACGATCGGCAGCTGATTGTATGCCACAGCCCAGTGGATCGGAAGACGATCGTCGTCATCTTTAACAAATGCAGCTTTCGGATTTGTCTGTTTCAACAATTAAATTCAAATATCATTTCATAGAATAGTAGAGCAAGATGGCTGTGAATTAAAGCTTGTGGGATCCGCGGGGCTGCGGGAACACTATATTTTGAAATGAACATGGAACTCACGTTGAGAAGGGACTCGGCAATTTGCGCTGGAGTATATGGTCAGCATCAGCCCATCTCTATCAACGATACACTTACTTCTGCCCTCACGGGCAGCCTCATGGAGGGCGAACTTGCTGCTTTGGGAATCCATGACGACGAGGTTGGTGAAGCTGAAGGGCGATAAGAGCTCACTTATCAATGGAGGGCACCTGACATTGATGCCTCAGGCTTCAAACAAGTCAACTGCGGAAATCCAACAAAAGATTCGCCATCTTCGGCACATCATCACGACGACCACCCGCCTCGCTACTCGGTCGCCAAAATCGCTGCCCTGTATCGGGATTGAACAGGCGGCGACACACGGCCATACCAATCACTTCTTCCATCCCAATTCCAGATACGGCAGGGTTTTCAACGCGCGCGACACGACCGCAGCTTTCGGAGCTGCTCCCTCGAAAAGGGTCTTTTGACTCCGCCGCCCTCATTCAAACCGACAGCTTCGACTGTCTTCAGATCCGCCCACCATGGACTACGTTCCCCCGCACATGACGGCCGACGAAGCCATGCGCACGTCGGCCAAGCGGACTGCCGACCTCTTCGGTGCGGAATATCTGATGGTCACCCCCTCGACCCTGACAGACGGTTCAATCGGTGTGTCATACCGACGGAAAGCTGAATATCAAGATGTGAAGGAGCTGCCACCGGTATTAGCAGAGAAACAGGCCAAGGCGGCGGCAGGGCGCACGAAACGGCCCAAGATCCAGGCGCAGGTGCCTGCATCAGCAGGAGACCAGAGTGGCGCGTCCATGTCACTCGTTAAAAGGACACCGGGTGTGGGTGCGGCTAGTGGTGAGGATCAGCCTAAGAGTCTGATCCAGAGACCATCGGCCACGAAACAGCAGCGCCCAGATTGGCATCCGCCATGGAAGCTGATGCGTGTGATCTCAGGTCACTTGGGATGGGTGCGGGCTCTGGCTGTGGAACCCAACAACCAGTGGTTTGCCAGTGGAGCGGGAGATCGGACGATTAAGATCTGGAATCTGGCGACGGGCGCGCTGCGCTTGACGCTCACTGGTCACATTTCCACTGTTCGTGGATTGGCAGTGTCCCCGCGACACCCGTATCTATTCTCCTGTGGTGAGGATAAGATGGTTAAGTGTTGGGATCTGGAAACCAACAAGGTCATCCGGCACTACCACGGCCACTTGAGCGGAGTGTACACCCTGGCCCTCCACCCACGTCTCGATCTGCTAGTCACGGGAGGCCGGGATGGCGTGTGTCGAGTCTGGGATATGCGTACGCGGAGCAACGTTCATGTGTTGAGTGGACACAAGGGCACTGTAGCCGATATCAAATGCCAGGAGGCTGACCCACAGGTCATTTCCGGGTCTTTGGACGCCACGGTTCGGCTGTGGGATCTCGCTGCCGGGAAGAGCATGGGAGTCCTGACGCACCACAAGAAGGGCGTGCGCGCTCTTGCTACTCACCCGCGAGAGTTTACCTTTGCCAGCGCGAGCACCGGCAGCATCAAGCAGTGGAAGTGCCCCGAGGGTGACTTTATGCAAAACTTCGAGGGCCAGAACGCCGTCATCAATTCCCTGGCGGTCAACGAGGATAACGTCCTTTTCTCCGGGGGAGACAATGGGTCCATGTCCTTCTGGGACTGGAAGACTGGCTATCGATTCCAGTCCCTCGACACCACTGCCCAGCCCGGTTCGCTTGATGCCGAGGCTGGCATCATGGCTTCCACCTTCGATCGCACCGGCTTGCGTCTCATTACAGGTGAGGCTGATAAGACCATCAAGGTTTGGAAGCCTGATGATGAGGCTACTGAGGAGACTCATCCCGTCACCTGGGCTCCTACTCTCGGTAGACAGCGGTATTGAGAGTTTCTTTTGATCGAGTCGTTAATACCCTGTGTGGTTGGTATGTGCCCGGTTCTATCTGGACGGCAATGGGTGGAGTTTAGCGTGGTTTCTGTATCTTACTGGGATCTGAACTGTTTTAGAAAAATATCGGACTGGGAAAGCCCCATCCATTTCTCTTCCTATTCTGTACCACACGGCCCTGTAGAGCATTAAGATTGAAACCATTGATCTACTGTTAATCATACGTGCCTTGCTGCAGTAGCGACAGCACAAGCTATACTAATTTGCAATGCAAGGCCAAACTACAACTTATCTGTCTGTATCTTTCAATTTACTTTGAAGATGCACACAACAGATGTGCTGCAGTGAGGAGGATCGCAACTCCTCGACTAGTAGATGGGCAAACGGCTCCGTCATGGGCAAGAAGGATCCAGGAGATGCTCAGATGTCGTCATCTTAGATCGCGGATGGAAAGAGTCTATTGACCACTGTAGAGCGTACGATTGACTTTCAAACTATCGTGTAGCTTTAACGAGACCTCGTATGACGATACATATAATGCCAATTCTGTTTCCCCATATCCTCCCGAATCTTATATACAGATTCTGCTTCTTCAACAATATCCATATCCACTTCGACAATTTTCAGGCCCTCTTCCGGGGTAGAAAACTTTTCAAGGCAACCCATGAATGGCACAGCGACCTGGGAGTGACCCATATATCCTTCAGCAGCCGGCCCTGCAACGTTGCAGAAAACCACTGCGCAAGTGTTCTCAAACGCCCGACTCACGACCGTGGCATCGATAAACACTTGGTCTGAAAGGGGGTTTCTCTTCATCCCAACATCGGATGCGTCTGTCAACTTCCAAAACGCAGGAATGATGATCAGCTTGGCACCCTGAGCGATCAGCTCCTTGAAGGCTTCGGGAAATGCTAGATCCCAGCAAATCAGCATTCCCACCTTACCCAGCGGGGTATCAAAACACGAGTGAGCGTCGTGTACTGAACCGGTGACAATTGGCCTTTCAGGATGCCACAGATTCTTCTTTTCATATCTGCCTAGGATGACACCGTTATAGTCGATGAAATAGGTGCAATTGACAAGCCTCTCTTCTTGGGTTTCCTCGTTGCGATGTAACTCTGCAAAGGAGCCAGGTACAACACAGATATGACACTCCTTGGCCAAAGCACAATAGGCATCCAGATACTTCTTACAGTGAGTGCATTGCCTCCTGAAGTTCTCATCATCCGGATCGAAGTCCCGCAGATGATACTCTGGAAGAACGGCAAGGTTCGCTCCGGCTGTGGCCGCTTCTCGAATGAACGCCACTGCCCGAGAATGGTTTTGTTCCAGTTCGCGGGACTAGTCCATGTGAGTAAGTACTTCGTGCAGTAGATCGGACAAAGGGAGGTACATACCTTGGGGTGCATTTGAATAACCGCAATCTTGTGCATTGTCATTATTCATCCGGCGGCCAACTCAAGGCTAGTCTTAGATAGTTGAACACAGTTAGGATGTGAGCGATTAAGATCAAAGAGTCTATTCTGATTTCGAGCCAGTAAGCGGCTTCCCAACTATTTATGGTTATTGTCAACATTATTAATTGCCCGAGACAACAGAGCCGCGCTCCGATCTTCTCAGACAACGATGGATTCAGCGGAAATCTCAAACAGACGAATTACCGCACCAATTATGGTATTCCTTTCTCCCGGCTCAGCCTCAGTGCTATCCCACAGTCTTCCCGACTTTTCGCACCGCTCGGCCCCTAATACCCCGGATTTGAGTCCACAGAACTGAGCGTGAGCTTCGACAAATTGAAGGGCCATCCAAAATTATCTCATTCTACGATTGGCTTGAAACACCGAAACTCCGATAGGCGGATCGCCGGACCGCGCAGAGCCCGCGATGTGAACTTGCCGTACGATGTTTTCGGTGGTAGGCCGTTGGGTGGAGGGATTGCGGGGTTGACTAGTTTGCCAATCAAAAAAGCCCAAACGGTTTGATCCATTTCCGAATTAGGGAGGCTCCGGCATTAAACTCCCCATGACCTTGTTTCTCAAGAAAACACTCGGCCCTTACAGTGCGGAGGTGAACTCTATAACCGCGCTCTCCTTTTCCCGCGGGGGTAATATGTACCGACTGTAGGTCTGTGCGACGATTGTATAACTGCCGTGGCTGGTGGTTGTTTGAGACTGCTGTGTCCTTTTCTTCTCGATGTTTGAATCCCGTTCTCAATCGCCTTGAAAATAGTAACGAGGAACAAGCCAAAAATGGCGCCAACTTCTGATTCGGATTTGTTGTGGCCACCTGGCACCGTTCGACTCGAAGGTAATTATACATCACCCTCACTTTTTCCAAGGCCAAGTCTATTCCTCATAGTTCCACGAGCCTGCGAAAACTCCAGCCAACTAAATATAGCCCACTCAAAATTGATTTTCTAATGATTCAACAGATCTTGAACAGCCAGGTGCAGCTGACGCAGTTATTCTACAACCGCAGCCGAGCAGGGATCCAAATGACCCACTGGTGAGGACGTCTTGAGATCCAAGACATAGCTTCGTCAGTTCTAACAGTGAATAGAACTGGTCGCCATGGCGCAAGCATCTCAACTTCGGTCTTGTATCTTTCTACGTCTTCATGGTTTTTGCAATGTAAGTAAAATGGACGCAACATAAGGAATCTTGCTGATAGAAACTATGCTCCAGGATTGATTGTGCTCCCGTCACTTGGGGCCCCATGAACAGACAATTGGGCTTCAGTTACGCAATATTGAATGACAGCTATGCTATTGGCTGCGGCACTCTTGCCCTTGGCGGCCTTTTGCTCATTCCTTTTGCGCTGAAATATGGCCGACGACCATTATATCTGATGAGCACTGCGATCCAATTGGGGATGAGTATTTGGACCGCCGAAATGCAAACAGTAGCAGGTCTCCTGCTTATCAATGCCATTAGCAACCTGGTAGCTGCTCTGGCTGAGACAATGGTGCAGATGACTGTTGCAGACGTCTATTTTGTCCATCAACGTGGGCTCATGAACAGTATTTTCCTCTTGATGTTGACTATGGGAGTGTCAATTGCTCCTATCGCTGCCGGCTACATCACCATCTTTGAAGGCTGGCGTTGGGTCTGGTGGTGGATGGCCATCTTCTTCGGTGCTGGATTCCTCGCTTTTCTTTTCTTCTACGAAGAAACGAAGTTCTCGACTACTACTGTCGAGAATGATGACACCTCAAGAGTCCACGGATCCAAGAATGCATCTGCCACCGACTCGATACATCTTGAGGAAGCTGACCCGGAGAAGCTCAACGAGATATGCGGGCCAGAACAGCAGCTCACTGCAATCAGCGTTGATCATTCGCTCCCAAAGAAGAGCTACAAGGAAAAGCTTACACTCTTGTCCGTGTCGCCCATCTCATTTGCGCAATTGGCCAAACATATGTATGAGCCACTTCTAATGCTGTTTTTCTTCCCTGCGGTGGGCTATGTCGGCCTTATGTATGGGTTCATGACAGCGAGTATTACGGTGACGATCACCACCTACTCGGCTTGGATGACCTTGCCACCTTACAACTTCAACGCGGCTGGAATTGGCTTGATGGGCCTTCCAGCGTTTATCGGTACGGCGTTGGCGGCAGTCATTTGTGGACCACTGAGCGACTATCTTATCATCTACCTCTCTAAGCGAAACAAGGGTGTCTATGAACCGGAAATGCGACTATGGGTCATCCTCATGTTTGCCCCGTTTGTCCCTGCAGGTCTCCTGATGTTCGGCATCGGATTGAACAACGGTCAACCTTGGCCGATCCTGGCTGTTGGGCTGGGTCTAGTTGGATTTGGCGTCACACCAGCTTGCAGCATAAGTTTGACCTACCTCACGGATGCATATACAGCGGTACGTATGGGTGCATTCTGGAATGGGTTACATCCGTGCAGCCGGGAAACTGACTCTCTGAGTACTACAATACAGATTATTGCGGACTCCATGGTTGGAGTCACCTTCGTTCGGAACTCCATCTCGACGATTTTCGTCTTCGCACTGACTCCTTGGATTTCGTCGGCTGGGATCACTGGGTTCTATATATCGTTTTCAGTTATTGTCAGTACCATTTTGCTGGGACTTGTGATTTTTGTCTTCTTCGGTCGAAAATTCCGGGTCAAATCTGCAGCAAGGTACCGCCATTTTGCTGACAAGCAAATCGACTCGCGGAAAGCGTAGCTCCAAAATCTCTCAATACAATGACATGATGAGTTGAAGTTTCTAGGGCCAACACTGCTTCTGCTTAATCTGTTTGTCGGATTGACTCGGGCAATCTCGGCATCAAGCTTCTTCGGTCCTCCATTGCCAGAACAATGCTGAACAGCGGCAGCCGCAGTGGCAGAAAACCGGTCAGTAGCCATGGTGGCTTGAAGGCGGCATTCAGGCGATACGACCGAGCAGAAGCAGAAAGAATGGCAAGCAACGGCTCTGTATATCACCCCAAGATCTTGGTACAATGTTTGTGGATTGCCTCGCCGTGCCGAATAATTTCTATGCAGACTACAAGAAGCAGCCAATCGGTTATACCGCGTCATTAGACTATGAAAGGGTTGATATTGGAATCTCAGCCCCCTTGCTTATTTCAGTAGAATTTATGACGAGAACGCTCAAGAAAAGCAAACTAACACAGAACCTAACTAAAGTATACGACATCAACTCCAAGGAATGCAATGCTTGTGATACACTCTAAAAACATCAGTTCTCAACACCCAACCCAAACCCCTTGGCCTCGATATCCTCCCGAAATGCAGCCCTAACATCCTCTGCCGCAACCCTCAGCCTCACTTTACTGCTGCGATCTCCCCTCGTCGGGATAGTCGAACCGCCAAGTAAATTCTTTGACGCGGAGCCTTGCTCCAGAGCCAGCACACCTGAGTTCATCAGATCCATAGCTGCAAATGCCAATGCTCGTACACGAGAACCGGCGCCCTCACCGAGCAAGAAACCCTTTACGCCTGCGCCGGCTGCGCCTGCGACAGCGACAGCGGCGTCGGCGATGCGACGTGCTTCATCGAGGACATCTCCGAAGGATGATTCTGTTAGGCCGGTCCGCTTCACCCGGGCTAGCAGGGCGGCGAGGAACAGTTTTCCGGAGAGCGGGAGGCAGCGGAGAGATTGTTGCAGCGGGGTGGAGGTTGCTTCGTGGATAGCCTGTTTGATAGTGGCGATGGTCACACGACCGGTTTTTCCTTTTTCGGCGGGTGCTTTGTCCTGCCGTGCTGGTGTCTTGGAAGGCGTTGGAGGCAGGGACTCTGCGGTGCCGGTGGCAGGGTCGTCTTTGTCGGCTGATTGTTCCGCAATTTCGACAGCACGCCGACAGATATCGAGGGCGCGGCGCGCATCACCACTCACAGCGGCGACTTTCCGGCTGGCGAATTGAATGGCGTCCGGGTCGACGATGTTGCCGGGGACGTTTGCGAGACGGGTGCTGATGATCTGCATCAGATCGGTATGTCGGTATCCCGGGAAGGTGATGCGGGTGAGGCCGAGACGGCTGGAGATCTTGTTGCTGAGGGTTCGTTCGGGGAGATCCATCGTGTTGGCGACAGCCAGGACGATGAGCCGCGAGTGACGGAGAGCGGGCCAGTTGAAGAAGTTGTACATGACCGACTGGTTTTTCGTAACAAGCTGGTCCAGTTCATCCATGAGGACGACACAGGACACACGACGGGGGGATGGGTGAGAGAATTCTCGTTCGAGAAGATCGAGTGCATGTGAAGGAGATACTCGATCTCCTTTCAGGGCTTCCCAGAGCAGAGAGTACGATTGATGTGGATCCGTCACTTTCATACCGTTGATTTCCACAAAGACAAAGTCATCCATCTCCTCTGCAAGCACGGCGGAGTTAAGCTGCGCGATGACCTCGCGCACGGTGGCCGTCTTGCCTGTTCCTGGTGTGCCGGAGATGTAAATGCAAGCCCCCGTGCCTTCCATGATGGCGGCACTGAGATGATTGTAGACCGTGTCGAATTCGGTCTTTCGACATGGCAGCGATTCAGGAACAGTCGAGACATGCAGTAGCGTACGTGCTTGCTTATATGGAGAGGTAAAGTGCGAGGGCTCCAGCACACGAGTGCCCAGTGGAGTGAATTCAAGTGGCTTTTTGACGACAATTCTAGCCCATTGTCAGTAAAGGCTCATCACAATACAAGGAAGTGTCCTATACCTCTTATGTGTAGGCGTAGTCAAAGCCTTCTTGCGCTGGGATCGGGGGGTGGTATTCGTCGAGGCCAGTCTTTGTTTCTTCCGAGGCGTAGTCGGAGCCATATTCTCATCCTTGACGTCGACATACTGCAATGCCCATTAGAACCAATCAATCTCCTTCAACCCGGGTTGACTTACATCGGCGTCATCGGCAGTCTTGCGCTTCCGGGCCGCTTTCAAACCATCCTTGATAATCGTAATGAGGTTAAAGATCTTATCCTCCTGGTAGACATCCTCCCAGACAAATTCGTCCGTGTACCTCCCCTGCACCTGATTCACACCTCTCCGACAAACAATACACTTGTTGTACTCCGAGAGCTCATTCTTCCCCTTCGGGGGGGTACCATTCGGGTATCGCGCGAAGAAGACGTTCTTCGACATAACATTCGCTTTGCCATTGATAGATGTCAAAGGATTGACATTGAAATCCGCAGTGAGGTACTGCTCATTGGGCAGCACATCCGGCCGGCGCTTGTTGCGGGTTGACATGAACTCATCCGGCGAGGCGAACCACATGATATTGGCGCATTTGAGCACCCCGCCTTCCTCCTCCTCGTCGTGGTCCTCCTCTTCCACAAACTCTGTGATGATGCCCGCCCAGTCCTTTCCCGCCTCGGGGGACTTCAGCAGCACGACCTGGCCCAATCGGCACTCGAAGGTGCCCATGCGAGCGCCGACGATTGTTCGTTGTTTGCGTGCGGGTCGAGAGGAGCGGCGGCGACAGGCGGACTTGGTTGGGCTGCCATTGGTAGCCTCGGGCTCGTCTTTGACCTCTGCTTCTTCTGTCTCGTAGATCCAATCCCACGGGAGGTCTTCGTCGCCCAGTTCGTCGTCCGAGTCGTCGCGTACCAAGGCGCCCTTGGTCATCCACTGCTGGGCATTGCGCCGACTGGAGTCTTTCAGATCGGCCTCTTCCATTTTCGGTGGGGTGGAGTGGAATTCTGGGATCGAAGAGAAAGGGAGGTTGGCAGAATCTCGGCGACCCGACGCGTCTGTCCACTTTACTCCTGTTTCGGTTTAGTGTGTATGCCTTGGCGCTGAGGCCTACAATATCAAGAACACACGGTGAAGAAACACATTCAATTTAAGGGTATGCAAACTTGGCTGCTGGTATTCGATAACAATGCCCTAGTCTCCTGGTGCCGCTCAGGCGCGACGAGAAGGTTGCCCGAGGACGCTGACGTCTCGGCTTCACAATCACACCCCACGTAGGTAATCCATATCCTGTAGAAATCCCACAACCTCCACTGAATTCGTTTCAGCTCGCACACCTCCCCTGAGCTCCTCGTACCGGCCTATCCAGATGTCTTCTCCTACCAGGCCTTGACGAGGGCCTTGTCCTCAGCAATGGTGAGCATGATGATTTCGAGATTCATGCCTACTTCACCGATCAAAGACACCGGATATGATCCCCGCCGAGGTCTTCACCTTCAGTCGAACCAGATTTCAGAACAGCGTCCCCAGATCAGTATCGAGTACGTCTCCATTGCGCTGTTGCTCAGCATGCTGGGCAGGCCCCAGCATATCTGCAATCTTCCTCACAACAGTGAGGAAGTCCCAGAAGCTTGAATCCTCATCCCTGCCCTCAGCTGGAGGGAAAAAAGCTGACAGCGTTCCCCCGTGCTCCGCAGTATTTCCCGGTCGGAGATTGGCATTTTCGCCCAGCGCATTGTCCCACTCTGGGGCGAACACCGAAGCCGCCCAGGACACAGTTGGTTTTGCTTGCCAGTGGGGATGAGTTATCTTAGACTCGTCATCCATTGCAATCAACTTCGTCTTGAGTGGCATGTATGCATCGAAGCGGGCCAGTTCGAAGATGTAACGAGTGCCCTTCACTTGGAAGCGAATGGCAGCTTTCTCGACGAATTTCGACACGGGCGCCTCGGCCATGAAGTGGACCTTTCGCCGCGGGCTGGAAGCAATGCTCTGTACAGCCTGGTGGTTCTGGAACCTGATTGACCGTGCGAAAGCTCTCAGGGCCCCGCCGATGGTATCGGCATCGTGGAAGTCGAACGACTTGATCTCAAGCTGCCAGTCTGATCTAAGGTACAGTGTGAGCTTCTGATTATTTGAAGAAGGGCCTGAGACTTGAGTCTACCTGCCGAAGTCAATCACACCCACTTGCAGGGGGAGCCGATTGCCGCACTCTCCCTTCCGTTCGGCTTTGAGCCACCGGCACTGCCCAGCCTCAAAGCGCCGGGCACCCGAAGTCTTCAGGAATTCTGCTTCAAGACAAAGGACTGTGTTGTTTTTGCCAGGAAATTCGAAATATGCGGAGTGTGTGGGCTCGATTTCGGCCAAAGAATTGAAGTTCTTGGGTGCATTCAGCGGCTCAAGGAATTCGGTGGCACGAAGACACCTATCTAGTAGTTCGTTTTGACCGACTTGGAGGCTGAAGAAGGAATTAGTACTATGTGACTCCCAAGACAAGGGGACACATACCCCGGAACTAGTCGGCCTTTCGCCTGTTCGTGAAGAATCATGTTCTGGAAATCTTGGAACTCATACGAACACTCGCCCTTCTCCGATCGACGATACTCATCCAGCACAAAGGTCCCGAAATGAACACGCATTCTGAGGTGGCCACGAATAAAGGAGATCGTATCCAGGGACTTTTGAAGTTTTGTCAGAAGGAGAGAGTCGTTTTTCATCAGGATCAGGTCCTGTCCATTGCTCCAGTGTTGTCTCTGATCACCACCGAGCTCAACCCCATGCAGCAAAGGTCGTGCCACCCGCGAGCTCTTTTCAAGAAGAATCTTTGTTCTCATGATGGTAGGCGAGGGCGGCTCGACCAAGTACAACTTGAGCTGCACGTCCGACTTGGTTGTGAACTCCCTCCAGATGGTGCAGAGTAACTCAATAACTTGAAGAAGAGCTCCTTTGTCATGGGCGGAGACGCAGATGTAGTTGGGCATGTGTCGCTGCTGGTAGACATGCACGTCAAAAGTCGTCCGAATGTTGTCTAGCTTCTCGAGTTGTCCACCGAGAACACCGTTCATAGCAGGCCCGTCGGATGGCCACAAGAATATCAGCTGCTCGAGTACCGATTAGTCTCAAATAATTAATGGCTCTTGGGGTATTGGCTACGTACCATGACCTCGAATTCATTTGGCAGAGATGGCGCCTTGCGCAGCTCCTGGAGTCTTCGCTCCCGCTTTGCCTGGACGTCAACGTCTCTTTCCTTGCCTGCTTTGTAGGCATTGACCCGCGACCAGTATCCGAGCTGCTTCAAAGAGGGTTTGGGCTCCATGCACTTCGCAATCACTGCGTGAAGCAAGTCTTTCGCTGCGGTCACCTCGCTGTAGCCCCCCCAGATTTGAATAACCTTGTCGCAAACGTCAAAGCATGTTCTGAAGAGAAGACGGGCAGAGTTATATACCTGATCACCGTAATTTGCGGGCAGCACGTAAGCGCCGGTCTTGTGAGAGATGGCATCGAATGCATCAGCTCGCCAATTGACAGTCGACGACCTTCCACCAGTCCTACTGGGAGCAATTGATCGAACAGTATTTGCAAACCTGGTGCATATGTTGTTCAACTTGAGGCAAGATTACAAGGTCGTTGACGGAGGCACTTACGCATGTCTGGTCGTGCCAAAGGTATCAGGAAGTTTCACCTTGCCTGCCTTGGGGTCAGTGTGTATGATTCGCAAGTGAAGGAATGGTCTTACCATCGGGTTCCATCCCAGCACGCCATCTTGCCTTCGCAGGAGAGTCTCGGAACACATCGCTGACGGTTCGCCGACTGGCGGTCTGCTGCGGCCCGCGACGCGTGTGGTAAGTCGCGCCAGCTCGAAGACCCCTTGTGGGATGAGAACCGCTTCGAGTGTTTCCAGTGGTCTTTGGAATGATCTTGCTGGCCTGGTGGGGTGGAGCTGTCTTGGTCTTTGGAGCTGGAGCTGGGGCTGGAGCCGGAGCACTGCCAGCGGCTTGGTTCCCACGGCTGTACAAAGGAAGCGACCACCCTGCGGCATGAATCAGCAGGATGAACGAAGCAGAGGGTTGAAGCAGACAGTGAACTTGCCCTCTGCTGCAGACCGCTCGTAGCTGTGGAGGCGTCAGTTGAATCAGGATGAGATTAGGGTGTGAGGGTAAACACACTCCATATTTACAAGCACTGAGTATGGAAGGAACAGGCTGGACTAGGACTCAGGCTCGTGAGATGGAGGGCATGAGAGAAAAGGAGGGAGAAAGACTGGGGAGGAGGATGGGGAGGGGAGAGACAAGGAAGAGGATGGAAAGGGAAGAGGGAAGAGGGAAGAGGGTAGAGAGGTTGGGTGGGAGAAGACGAAAGAAAGAGGGAGAGTAGTCTGGCAGTGAATGAAGGAGGAAGGCACGCTCCTCGACCACAATATTGTTCAATGGGTTTATTTCTATCGATCTCGACAACCACCAACAGTATCTAGCCTGCAGCCGCTGCCTGTGCTGGCGCCGCTTCCCCACTGAGCATCTTCTGTCGCAGCACTAGAACAATATCAGTATTGAGACGGAGACGCAGAAGACAGCTGAAAACACTCACTCTCCTCCGTGACCCGCAGATGGGTGTTCTTCTCCTGCACAATCTTCTCCAGCTCCTGCAAATTGATATCCAGGCCCTTGACCTTCTCCTCATAGAACGCAATAGCCTTGGCAGGTGTCTATCCCACCAATCATCCATTCATCAGCAACGATTTTGATTTCCCTTTCCCTTCCCCGAGTTCATCCACTCACCTTCTCAACATAAAACCCCGTCCCAACATCCACAAGCACCTTCTCCCGATCCGCCAGCGTCCCCTTCACATACAGCGAGCTAGTCAGCGGGACAAGAATCTCTTCACGACCTGCCGTCCCCTTATTCGCGGACCCGACGACGCCGTCGTTGATCGAGCGCACACAGTCGCGGAACTTGGCCTGGGCGGCGCGCAGCTTCGCGTGCGACGAGGTGAGGTGTTCCAGTTCGGAGGTGAGGCGTGTTTGGAGTGAGCGGAGTTGTGGGACGGAGAGGGAGGCGAGGTTGACTGCGTGATTGAAATATTAGCTGGCTGGATGTCCGTAGACACTGGGATGGGAGGGAGTCTTGCTTGAACCTGGAGGAGCTCCGCCACTTGAGCTTGCTGCCGACATCTTGGGTGGTGGGTGTTGATTTTAAGAGGTGAGAGGGTGTCGAGGAATTAGTAGAATGAGTATCTATCTTCCACGCATCACCCGGAGTGTGGTGTGGAATTGCCGCGGGGAGGTTCGAAGCAGATCGTCCAGCAGAGAAAAGTGGAAGTAGTGGCAATAGGGTTGTGTAGCGGTGAGCCGGGGGGGAGAATAGAAATGCCACGCACTATAAACGGGACTCAACTCGAGATAGGTATTGTACATGGACCGCTAATTATACATGCTATATGCTCCAAAGAATACTCTCACAGCTGCGCTAGAAGCGACTGCACAAACGCCGACAGCCGGTCCAACGGCACGTCTTCACGCAGGTTCAGTCGCCGACACTGCACCTCCAGCGTCTGCTGCTTCTTCCATCCGTTGCCAACAACCACAATGACTGGATACCCAATCAGATCGGCATCGCCCAGTTTCCAACCCATGCTCTTATCCCGGTCATCGAGGATGGCATCCACCGGGACCGACGATGGAGACGTCAGGCAGTCGTACGCCTGGTCTGCGACAGCATCCAATCCTTTACCTGGGACGACCACGACCTCGTACGGTGCCATTGCACGCGGCCAGTTGAGGCCCTTGGAATCTGCAAGACGGTCGGCTACCGCTGAAATCATGCGCGAAACTCCAATCCCGTGGCAACCCATCTGCATCGGCACAATCTGCTCCGTAGCAGGGGGTCGGGCGCCAGACTCTGGGGATCCCTCCAGCACAGCCGGGTTCACGGTCACGGACGCATGAAGCACCTCGCTATACCGTGTCCCCAGATGGAATGTGTGGCCCATTTCGACGGCGGCGTGGCTCGTCAATGACCCATGTGCACAATGCGAGCACTTGTCCCCATCGTGTACCCGGACTAGACTGAGCTTGTTCTCGGTGCCGGGGAATCGGTCCAGCATCGAGTATTCAATGTCAGCAGCTGTACATCCGGCTGCCTGGAGGAGATCGCTGAGTGGTGGACGCTGGTATACTCGCACTTGCGAGTCATACACGTCCAGCACGCGTGGTTTCTGGGTAGCAGACTTGCGGGACTGGGCGTGAACAGTCCACTTGTGGATCGGATTTTCCACGCTGAGATCAAGGTCGACTCCGGCCGCGGTGGCAATCGCCTTGACAGCGTGCGAGTTGACCTGTCGTTCCACGGGTTCTGAGGAATCATTCTGCATTGAGAATTTGGGGTACCAACACCGAAGCAGGGTGTTGCTGTCATGAGAGATGGCCGACCACATGCCAGTTGAGATGGTCGGTCCACCTGCGACAGGTGTCTCCTCATCGGTCTGGAAGCCATGTTCAGAGGTCACGGCTTCATGGAAACTGTGCGTTTTCCCATCTGCAAGCTCCTCATTGTACACATGGTCGCAATGAGAACAGCTCACCACCTGATCTTCGCCCTTAGGGCTGAGAAAATGGAACTCGTGGCTCAGACTGCCGCCCATGTTGCCCGAATCAGCCGCCGCTACAAGGTACGGGATCTTCAGCTCGTTGAACATATTCGTGTAGGCGGTTTTGACCGACTCATAGGTCTTGAGTGCCTCTGGCACGTTGTAGTCGAACGTGTATAGGTCTTTCATGACGAACTCTCGCCCACGAAGAAGTCCCTGTCTTGGCCGAGGCTCGTCTCTGTATTTTCTCGCTGAGATTTCATTAGTGTTTCACTTTTGCAGTGGAAGTGGCAATCTCACATATTTGATATACTCGCAACGGGAGGCTCTTGTACGACGTGGTCAGGCTCCCCACGAGACTTGTGATTTCTTCCTCGTGTGTTGGTGCGAGGAGGAAACGTGCATCTCTCCTGTCATTGAACCGGAATACCTGGACAGCATTTTGAGCGGAGTGATCCTGACAAAAGCAGAGCTGGGCTTACTTCAGAGCCCTCCTTCAGGCGACCAGACTGCTCCCACAGCTCCTGTGACGATAATGACGATAGGGATACTTTTGATGCGCCTAATGTTCATTAGTACCCCAGACTTAAAAGGGCGACATGGGGTTCTAGTTTACCCAGTGAGCGCATATGCCTATCGATGAGACGCTCGACCTTCTCCTGCACGCGCAGCCCTAGAGGTAGAAGATGGAAGATTCCTGAATAGGCCTGGAATCATGTCAGACAGAGTCCGGGCCGCATTGGATAGGATGCTTACTTGGCGCAAGAAGCCACCTCGAATCAAAAGATCGTTTGCATCCTCTAGTACATTGTGAGTATTTGAGAATGCTTCAGGGAGTGACAATTGGCACACCCTTTCCACCATCGGTTGACTGCTTCTTAATTCCCCCTGTGGGAATCCAGAAATTCGATGCTCGGCTTCGGCCATCATACTGCGACGGTTAGAACACAGGAGTTCATTGGGTTCAGCTCGGGGGGTGATACATGGAGGCCGCAATGCCGGACGCGGAGGTGGGCCAACACCAGCCATCGTCTCGATGTGAGAGAGGGACGAAGCCCAGCGAACATCGAGAAAGGAATAATCGTATGCAAATCAATTGTGCGAAGCAAAAGAAGAAGAAGTGTTGCATGTCACGCGTTGTTGGAGAGGCTTATCGCACTGGTCCGAGCGTCGCTGATAAAGCAAATTTCAATCTTTTTTTTCCTTTTCAACTCGCCAAGTCAACTCAACCACCCACGCCATGGCCAAAGGCAAGGGAAAGCGCTCTTCGGACGCTAATGAGTCTCATTCTGAGGCAGCGGTCGCAGCCCCCGGTAGTCAAACTACACCCGATGTGCCCAATCTGGACGAGGGCGCCTTTGCGGGTCTCCGACAAAAAATTGAACAACGTTTGAAAGACCAGAAATCCGGCAAAGGAAAGTCGAAGGACAACGGCAAGGCAAAGGCGCCTGCTGTGGAGGCTCCTCTGAAGAAAGAGAAGCAAAAAGCCGATCAGAACCAAGGATCTGCAAAGGGCAAGAAGCGCGATCGCAATGGAGAGGTGATTGCGCGAGAGGAGAAGAAAGGCGGAAAGAACAAGAAGGAGAAATCGGATGCTCCGGCAAAGAATAACCAAGAGGATACACTGCGCCAGGAAATTTTGGCCCTGGGTGGCACTGAGGAAGATTTTGAGCTTCTCGCTGGTGTCGACTCCGAGTCCGAGGTCGAGGATGCCCCATCCAAATCGAAGAACAAGAGCGGCGAAGATTCTCTGCGAAATGAACTCTCGAAGATGTTGGAGGCTGCCGGCCAAGTCGTGCCGCCAGATCTAGCCGACGAAGAAGTGGATGAGGGGGGTGAAGACGAAGAGGAAGATGAGGGCGAGGATGAGGACGGTGATGACAGCAGCGAGCCAGAAGATTCTGATGTCGACGAGACCCCGACGGAGCCAGCTGCTCCCGAAGTGAAAGTTCCGAAGGAATATGCCAAGCTCGTGAGTGATGCATCCTTGATTGACAAGACGGCATGCTAATCCTAATCAAATACAGGCTGTCCTTCCTCGATCTGACTGGTATGCTGTTCCCCCTCCTCCAATCGCCTACACAAAGCAAATGAACGATTTGCCCCGGCATTTGATCGACCGCATTCATGAATTGGCCAACACTCTGCTGCAAGAGGAAAACGACTTGTATGCAGAAGCTCAAAAGACCTCGGCCTCCTCTTCTCACAAGTTCTACTCCACCATCATGTCGTCTGGAACCCTGAGCGACAAGATCTCTGCATTGACTCTCGCCGTGCAAGAATCACCATTGCATAACACCAAGGCTCTGGAGACTCTCATTACGCTTGGAGGCAAGCGCAGCCGTGCCCAAGCCGTTGAAGTTTTGCGTTCACTGAAAGATATGTTCGCCCAGGGTACTCTTCTACCTAGCGACCGGCGACTGAGGTCATTTGCAAACCAGCCGTCACTCGTTGCAGCTTTCCAAGGAGCGGGCGGTCGGTGGGGAAAGCGAGATCCGCTCCCCGGTGGTTTGCAGAAGAGCCACCTGATTGTGTGGGCGTACGAGCACATGCTCAAGGAGCAGTTCTTCGAGATTCTCAAGATCTTAGAGACTTGGTGCAACGATGAAATCGAATTCTCCCGGTCTCGCGCGGTCAGCTACGTCTACGAGCTGCTCAAGGAGAAGCCGGAGCAGGAATCCAATCTGCTACGGCTCTTGGTCAACAAACTCGGAGACCCGAGTAAGAAGATTGGTTCCCGAGCATCGTACCTGTTGCTACAGCTTGAGCAGGCACATCCGTTGATGAAGCCGACCATCATCAGTGCAGTGGAAGAGGTGCTGTTCCGGCCCGGCCAGAGCCAACATGCCAAGTACTATGCTATCATCACGCTAAATCAGACGGTCCTGAGTCTCAAAGAGGAGGAGGTTGCTGCTAAGCTGCTAAACATCTACTTCTCCTTGTTTGTGGCTCTGTTAAAGCCCACCCAGCCGCACAAGCCGGCGCCCAAGGGCAAGCCTGGCCATAAAGGCCCCAAAGGCAAGCGCCAAAACCAGCCTGCCAAGGGAGAAGCTCAGGACGATGAAATGCGGGAAAAGCTGGTCTCTGGTGTGTTGACAGGTGTCAACCGCGCATATCCTTTTACCAACTCGGACTCTGAAAGGTACGTTTCTCTACTTGGTTACTCGAAAACACAGTACTAATTTGTTCATCTAGCATGTCAAAGCATCTTGAGACACTCTTCCGCATCACCCACTCGTCAAACTTCAACACGAGCATCCAGGCTCTTATGCTGATCCAACAACTTACTGCATCCCATAAAGTTGGCGGAGATCGGTTCTACCGGACTCTGTATGAGTCCCTGCTCGACCCACGTGTGGCTACCTCCTCGAAGCAGTCACTCTACCTCAACCTTCTTTTCAAGGCCCTCAAGAACGACGTCAACGTACGTCGCGTCAAGGCCTTTGTGAAGCGGCTTGTTCAGGTGCTCGGATTGCATCAACCCGCCTTCGTCTGCGGTGTCTTCTATCTGATCCGCGAGTTGGAGAAGACTTTCAATGGCCTTCAGTCCCTCGTCGATCAGCCGGAGGACAACGAAAGTGATGGTGAAGAGGTCTTCCGGGATATGCCCGATGAAGATGATGAGCAGCCGGCTCCGATTGTTGAAACTAAATCGAAGCCGACGAATGGATACGATCCTCGCAAGAGAGATCCCGAGCACAGCAATGCCGACAAGACATGTCTTTGGGAATTGGTATGTTCTTATGTTTCCCTGGCAGCACCGAAGTTATTAACATTGTTTCTCAGCTTCCCTACACATCGCACTTCCACCCCTCTGTCTCCGTGAATGCCGCGCACCTCCTGGAACACCAGCCCATGAGCGGCAAGCCCGACCTCACCATCCATACACTGACCCACTTCCTCGACCGTTTCGTGTACCGCACTCCCAAGGCAACCACCTCCGCCCGGGGAACTTCGATCATGCAGCCTCTCGCGGGCGGTGATGCCGCAGACCGACTGGTCGAAGCCTTCAAGTCGTCGCAGAAGTCTCTCCCGCTCAACACCGAGGCTTTCTGGAAGAAGAAGGCCGACGACGTCGCTGCCGAAGATGTGTTCTTCCACGAATACTTCAGCCGCGTTAACAAGGACAAGGACAAGGCGCGCAGTAAGAAGGGCAAGGGTACTACTGATCCGGTTGATCGCGACGAGGAGGATGCCGAGGGTCTCAGTGACAACGAATCGGAGATCTGGAAGGCGCTCGTTGACTCGCGGCCTGAGCTGGAGGCAGATGACGATAGCGATGAGGATCTGGATATGGATGATCTGGAGTCCGCATTTGACGAGGACGAAGACGCCGAGGAGGGCGAGGATGACGGTGGCGTTATCTTCAACGACGAGTCTGACGAGGCGTCCGCAGACGAAGATATGGACGAAGTCAGTGATTTCGAGGGTGTGTCGCCGCCTCCACCGGCTGCTTCCAAGGCGTCAAAGAAGACCGCCAAGAAGGACGAAGAGGAAGAAGACGAGGACGACTTCGATATGGATGTCTCGGACGACGAGGCCTTTATCGACAGCGACGAGGATCTGCCATCGGATATGGAGCTGGGTGGTGTGGAGGTGCCGGACGACAAGGCATCGGAGCGCAAGAAGCGACGCAAGCTCAAGCACCTGCCGACGTTTGCCTCGGCGGAGGACTATGCGGCGCTGCTGGATGCAGAGGACGATGGCATGTAACTTGTCTAAACGGTTATTATTATTGTCTATATCATCTACATTTTGTACAAATCCATATCCATCCGTCCTACAAGCACTGACAATCTATAACGGCTGACCTAATCACCGCGGAATCCGTATCTCCACGTGACTTTCCCGCAATCGCATTTCTTCTCCGGTCGGAACGAGAATGAGTTGCTGCTGTCGTCCGTTCCCTTTTCTTTTTCTTTCCTTCTTCCTGTCAATTCGATTCCCTCAGCATCTCTTCATCATGTCCAGCGTCCGTTCCCTCCGACGAGGTGTCGACCTCGTCGCCTCGCGGGCTGCCCCCTCCATACTCCCCGCAGCGCTTCTATCAGCTCCACATTGCTTCGCCGGGAGCTCTCCTCTGCCTCGGGCTCTGTGCGACCAATTGCCCCTCGTGTGCCCGCCGCCAAAAACTCTCTGGTGTATGTTGCAGCTCCTAAGCGCACTGCACAAACCGTGCGGTATGCGTCCAACTCCAGCGAGCCGCTGCGCAAGACGCAACTGTATGACCTGCACGTGGCGCACGGAGCCAAGATGGTGCCCTTTGCCGGATTCGACATGCCGCTGCAGTATGCGGATCTGAGCCATGTCGAGAGCCATATGTGGACGCGCGAGAAGGCCAGTCTGTTTGATGTGAGCCACATGTAAGCATCCACGCCCAGAAGACTCCCAAGAAACGAGCGAGCGAGACACGGCTAACAAAGCTTCAAAAGGGTCCAGCACCACCTCAGCGGGCCCGGCGCCCTTGATCTGCTGATGAAAGTGACGCCCTCATCACTGGACAAGCTGTCCCCGAACACATCGACCCTGTCCTGCCTGCTAGAAGAAGGCACCGGCGGCATCGTTGACGACACGGTGATCACCCGCCGCGGCGAAGACTCCTTCTACTTTGTGACCAACGCCGGCCGGCGCACCGAGGACCTGGCCTTCCTGCAGACCGCAATCGACGCCCACCGCGCGGAGAACGGCGCCGACAGTATCAAATGGGACATCCTCGAAGACCGCGCGCTGGTCGCGCTGCAGGGCCCGCTTGCAGCAAGCATCCTGCAACGACACATCTACACGGCGGGCGATGCCTCAGCGGCCGAGGCCGACCTGAGCACGCTGTACTTTGGCCAATGCCGCGAACTGCACCTGACGCTGCCCGATGGCTCTGCCACTGCGCACCCGCTGCTCATCTCCCGCACGGGCTACACGGGCGAAGACGGCTTCGAGATCTCCATCCCGAGCTCGGGTGCTCCCTCCCTCCCGCAGCAGGTCACGGAGCTCCTCCTCAGCGACAAGGATCACGTTCGTCTGGCCGGTCTCGCCGCACGAGACTCCCTCCGCCTCGAGGCAGGCATGTGTCTGTACGGCCATGATATCTCCACCGCCCAGACTCCGCCCGCCGCGGCCCTGGGCTGGGTCGTTGGTCGTGACCGTCGTGACGCCGCGACAGCCACCTTCAACGGCGCCTCGGTCATTCTGCCCCAGATTGCCAGCCCCAAGTCCCTCGCCCAGCGTCGTGTCGGTCTGAACATTGAAAAGGGCCCTCCTGCTCGTGAGGGCGCCGCCGTTGTTGACCTTGCTGACCCGTCAAACCCGGTCGAGGTCGGCGTCGTCACCTCTGGCCTGCCTAGTCCCTCGCTCGGGGGTGCTAATATCGCCATGGCGTACGTTAAGAACGGATTGCACAAGAAGGGCACGGAGCTGGGTGTCAAGGTGCGGAATAAGGTGCGCAAGGCTAGCGTTACGGGCATGCCCTGGGTGGAAAGCAAGTTCCATCGCCCGCAGTAGAGTCTAGATTAAGAACCTGTTCAGCAAAGGAGAAGCGTGACATCTGTGTATATACCATCTTTATGTTCAATGCTATGTTTTTCTTGGAAGTATATGTTACAGTTACAAGAAGGGATATAAATGGTCGTGGCGTTCAACACGTTGGTCTATTCCGGGTTCGCCGAGGGAAAATATACCGCACGAAATGGCAGGGGTATTCTTATCTCGTGCCAAATAATCAAAAAGAAAACAAAGAAACCAGAAAGTCCACCCATTAATCCTGGGGTGTAGATCATACTCCCTTTCAAATCCTTAATCCAGCCTGATCCGACTTAATCGACGACGTAACGGAGAGCAAAATCCATCAATCAGATCCGAAAAAGAAAAAGAAAAGGAAAACATAAACAAATGATAAATACATGAAACTCCTCTTTCTGTCCCAGTCATCGATCATGTCGTTAGGCGCTGCGAAAGAGGAAGCCGAGAGTGCTGCTCCATCGACTCAAAAGATACACATGCACGAACGGACGAAGATCAACATCACTGAGAGCCTTCTTTCCCGCCCTGCGGGACTGCGCTCAAAGGGCGTTGCTGGCACAGGTGAAGGGCTTGCCGAATGCACCCTTACGGTAGCTGACAACGACTGAATCAACGGAAGCCTGCGGGGGAAACAGATTAGTACATTTCCAAAAACCGTACGACTGAAAGCACAAATCAAAGAAACTTACGTAGGTGCCAGCAGTCAGGAAGAACACGCCGGTCAGAATCAAGAAGACGTTGACGATAGCTCCGATCCAGCCGCGAATACCGCGCACCGCATAAAAGCGGGGGCCGTGGTCGTTATACCGCATGCGCAGGTAAGCAACGCCCCAGAAGATGAATCCGAAAAAGGAATCGAACAAAGAGCTCATGATCGACAGCAGGTCTGAAAAGAACGGAATGACCTCGGCGATGATCCAGGCCGCAATCCAGAGGGCAAAGAGGATTCCAGCCCACGAGGCCCATCCCACGACAGTGTGGTTGGCCTTGTGGCGGGTACCCTCAAAGATGCGGAAAAAGATGAAGCGCGCGGAGACAGACGCATACAGCACGCCCAGGAAGATGAGCGTCGGGATCATGAACGAGAAAGATATCTTCTTGTAGACCTCATCGCTGAGCGAGTGAAAAGCAGGCGCCGCCGTGTATTGGCCGGTGTAGACGTAGATGACCGCGCCTACCAAGCTGAAAACGATGACTTCGGCAATGGTGACGGCGGTGACCGATTTCCAGAATTCCTGAGGCTCTTTCATCTCTGCGATGAAGCTGGGCAGGGTGATCTGGCCGATGAAGGTGTAGCTGATGTTCAGGAAAGCGCTCATTCCGGTCACGAAGCCGGTTCCAGGCGCCGCGACCACCAGGAACTTGGCCGGTCCTGTATTCTTGTAGCCAGCCTTGCTGGGTTCCCCTTCGATTCCAGCGAAAACGGTGGCCATGATGACCGAGACGAATGTGAAGAGGGCCGAAAATGTTGCGAGCCTGGACAGAGCGCTGAACGTCCGCGGCAGGGAGAAAACCCACGAGATCATCGCCATGATGAAAGAGAAGGCGATGGTGCAAACGGCACCGTCGGTCATGGTGTTGAGATACTCGGCACCCACCAAGCAGTGCAAGCCCTGAATGAAGGTGTTGTTCAACAGGAACATGACCGCCGTTACCCACCAAACGATCTTCGAATTCCAGAACAGATACTGGCCGACATCACAGACATCGCGAATTTCGGGGTGGCGCAGACAGAATTTCCTATTGCACATGGGTCAGCACCCGCGCAATCTGTCTCGAAAATGAACAGCACATACCAGACAATTAGCGAAGTATACAGCACAGACCCCGCGATCACAATGGTGAGGATCAGGCCGGGCACCAGGCCCAGAACGGAGTATGACCATGGGAAGGACATGATGGCCAGACAAATGTACTCGGAAAAGAGCAGCGCAGCCGTCTATGTAACACCATCAGCATTGATTAGTTTCACCTGGTGGACCGGGGAACACCGACCTTCTGCCAACTACACGTGCGATACTTGATGCTGTTCTCCGACTCCATTTCGATCTGCCGACCGACGCTCTCGGACGTCGAGGACGAGTCAACGGCGGTGACATGGTGATGCGAGCTCCGGCGCCGGCCCTGGCCCTCGAGATCGTCCAGGTCCTTCAGCTTGGACACGTCCTTGTCGCTGTAGACCGGGTCATCGCGGCGGTCGTCTCCATTGCTAAGGTCCATGTGGTTGAACGCCATTTTTGTCTTAACGACCGGGCAAACCGGGCTTGACGGTACTCGGTGGAGTCGAAAGAAACGTTGTTGAGGGCCCTGGTATGCATGTACCGCTCTGTTGTACTACTTTGAACAGAACAAACCGGAGGACACTAGTAACACATGAGTGAGTGGCCTAGAGAACACCAGGTGGAAGTCAGCTCACCCGAGGTGGATGGTGAAGTTGAATTCCGGATCCGGACAATGGGGTAATGTCGTCAGTGCTGGATTAGGGCAGACTGGGAGGTATATCGATGGCCGACAAGGTTTAGGAGCGGGCGTGGACTGAGGGAGAGGGTGGGAAGGGAAGAAGAAAGGCGAAAACGGGAACATTGATTAATTAAAAAGAGCTGCAGATCTGAGTCGCTACTGCCCGTATAGCAGATACGGGCAGAGTCACTACGGGCGGGTAATTAATGGGGGATTCTGGGTATGCGAGATACTCTACGATAATACCTGGCTCCACCGGCGCAGAAAATCAGAAATAAAATGTGCACAAACGAGGCCGGGCAAAAGCGCCATGACGTGATGGAGCACCCATACTCTGCCGCAATAGGCGTACTCTCGAGCCTCAGCCGTGGCTGTAGCGTTTGGCCGGGCCAAGGTCGCCCGGTTCCGCCTTCCTAGGGGGGCAGAAGTCTTGGAAGCAATCTCACCATCCCAACAGTGAATTTTATCTGATTCGACCCGTTCGCAGTAGTCGGGCGCTCCGAGGCTGCGGGCTAGCCACCTGGCTCACGGCAAGGGGCACCTCGTGCGGGTGCACGTCCGGTCAGCCCCCACATCATGAGTTGATGGGCTGTTACGGAGTGTGCTTAGTGAAGTGGTGGCGTCCAGCCTTGGCCCCGCAAGCGACCGACTGGACATCGAAACAGCCAAGGGGGAGCGGGCGCACCTGGTATCGGGGGCCCGAGAAACATGGGAATGGATGGGAACACCCTGTTGTCGATCCCTGATAGGGTGCCGATGAGGTGCTTTACTGAATGCGGTCAAGAGCGGATCCGTGGGGGATGGATGGATCATCGCAATCTCTGGTGGCGCATCCCCCATACATAAGACGAGGCAGCGAGCTAGAGGCGCATCGGGCTGGACCAAATGGGTCTGAAGCTCCAACAGAGGGAGTCCTGTCGTTAGTTACGTCGTCTACATTTACTTCGGTTCCTCTCGGCTCGCTCAGCGGTTCTGTTCAGGTCTTCCCGACCACGTGCTGCAGAAATTACGTAATCAATGCGCCTGGCAGATCAGGCAGGATCCGCGGAGACATGTACTGTAGCTATCCAGGTGCTGAACTGATCGGCCGCACCGGCTTGCCGAGATTGTGCATCTGCAGAGCCCCTGGATAGTTCCGGTCCACTAGAAACGACCGATCCGCGTTCTCGCTAACCAGTTCCCCGTTTTACAGTTGACGTGCGACTCCACTACGATGGCCTCATCTCCCCTATAACTCTGTGAACGTAAGGGTAATGCCATGATTACCGTCAATGGGGCCGTTCTGGGGACCCAGAAAGCTTCAGGATCGTATTTTACCATCCTCCAAGGATTTTAGGGTCCAGCAGCCCGGCCTAGACTTGCCATGTTGTATTCTTCTAGAAGCCTGCCACATCCCTGTTGGTGGATTGCCTGGTTTAATCGGTAGCGATCGGCACATAACGGCCATTGACATGATAGCTGTTGAGACTGCGCATTGGACTGTGCATGCTTAAAAATGTCAATTCGAGCATGTTGCCACAACCAAGTACTACGCGTCTCTCACCAATCACAGAACACTGGTGTAGCTTTGCTCATTTAAAATAGTATCACTCCAAAGACGCAACTACCAAGGCAATCCCAGTAGGCTCAAAAGGTAAAGTAAAGATAAGATTGAATACAAAGAACTGAAGTGAGTGTTATAGACATCGAGACTAACACAGTGAGAATCGAAGACTCTAAACCCCCCGGGCGTGACTCCTATCGCGAGCCATACGAGCATGCGCATCAACATGAGCATGTCTCCTGCCAACGGCAGCATCACCGAAACCAAAGTCATGAAAGGTATCGTCCAGAGAACGAGCGCCCACAGTCCCCGACGTCGAATCAGACAGGGAAGGCGGGATATCCTGGGCGCCGGTACCCCAGGTACTTTCGTTGCGACCCAGGATGAGAACTAGGTCGTGGCCCTCTGTGAAGAAGTCGTGGGAGACCCAGTTCTTGGTGTAGGGCTTGCCGTTCATGGTGGCGGACTGGATGAAGCCCGAGCCGCCGGTGTTGTTCTGCGAGTTGAACTTGTCGAAGTTGACCACGCGGATGGTGGCTTCGTTGCCCGTGAGCGGGTTGGTGATGCTCACGGCCTCGAAGAAGGGCACGGTGATCAGGTACACACTCTGGCCGGGATTCGGGAACATGCCCATCATCGACATGGCGACGAAGGAGCCCATAGCGCCAGAGTCGTCGTTGCCGGGGAGGCCAGCGGGAGTCGGCGCGAAGTAGTCGGGGATGTAGGTGCGCACACGAGCGGTGGACTTGGCCGGGCGTCCGGCGTAGTGGTATTGGTAGACTGTTAGGAAAGCTGGCTCGTTGCCAATGTAAGTGATTTTCTTGTCGTGGAGATAGTCGAGGCGCTGGACGAAGCTGTTGGGGCCGCCCAAGAGAGGGATGAGAGCAGCCATGTCATGGGGAACGAAGCTGGTGAGACATGTTAGTATTGTGCATTTTTGTAATGTGGGAGGACGTACAATTGATACTCCCAGATGCTA